CCAGTCCCTAGTTAGGGGTATGTGAGAGGCAACCAATTGATGTATCTCTCGCATATTAATGTTTCTCTCCCTCTCTTTCTCTCTCCCTTCCCTTCTCTCTAAAAATACATACATACATACATACATACATACAAACATACACCTTAAAAAAAAAGAAATAAAGAGGGGAAATCAAAAAGAAATGAAATTCAGAGACCAGAAGAGCTAATGATGGAAGGAGAGGACACGTGTATCTCTGAGGAAGTGAGGGAAAGGCTACAATGAGAACTGAAGGCAGACTGGTAAGTGGTGTGAAGTGGTCCCTTATGGAGCTGTGGGCAAGACTTCACAATCTCTGTATCTGCTGTCTATAAGGGAAAACTTTCTAACCAACATATAAAAAAGTATTGCTTTCTCACTGACGAGTTGTGTTGTTATTTTTAAACTTCCCCACCAACTTCTAACTCACTCACCTGAGAAGAAATCTGTTCTCACATCTTTCCCCAGCCAGGGCTCTTTCCCTTGCTCCAATAAGGAAACCACGTCTGGCTTAGACATGTTAAGACCTGCTTGAAGAAATGAAATAAATTCAAAATCACTTCTTGAATCCTCAGGAAAGAGGGACCATTAAAAGAAATGACAGATGTAAGTATAAAGGGTATCTAAAGAGTAGGTGGCATTATAATCCCCATCTTAAAAACTAATGGAAAAACGGGGGACATACCTCCATTGAGAATATTCAGGCAGATAATCAAGATTCACGAGAGTAACACTAAAGGTCACTTTCTTTGTGCGGGGAGAGGAGGAGGAACACTTACCCAGTGAGACCAGGTGACCATAGTTCTCCAGCATAACATGTCTGTACAAGTCCCGTTGAGCAGGCTGAAGCCATTCCCACTCCTCCTGGGAGAAGTCTATGGCCACGTCTCTGAATGTCACTGACCCCTGAAATGACACACAGGCATCTGCGCAACAAGCACCAGTGCTCCCTGAGGCCCTGATGACTAGTGCAATGCAACCCACTGTCAGGGGCGGAAAGTGCATACAAGTAATGGCAATGGGAGTTTTCCAAATTCTGAGTGATCACTGACAGTATAAGTAAGAGTAGAGCTGTTTTGTTTTGCTGTATAATAAAGAAAATGAGAGAAAAAATATGTGATTTGTCCTGAGATAATTTACAATTTTTTGAAAGGTAAAAAATTATATATGCGAACTTGGATTTCTGGCTTTGGTTATAAAAATTCTTAAGGCCTTACAGCACTTTATGAACAGTGAAGACAATTCCTTTGTGTTTAATGGGCAATGGATATTGTCCTTAATACCAGTGTATTTCACCTTGATTTGGCAAGAATTTCTTCTTGATAACAATTAGTTGTAGTCCATAGCAGCCGTACCCTTGAAATGTGGTATGCATTCTCAGGTTTATCATAGTTGTCCCCATTCCTGAAGAAATAGCTGTGAAATTTAATTTTTAATTGTTTTAGAGAGATAGAGGAAATGAGAGAGAGAAACATCAATTTGTTGTTCCACTTATCTATGCATTCATTGGATGATTCTTGCACAGGCCCTGACTAGGAAATCAAATTTGCAACCTTGATATATGGGGTTAATACTCTAACCAACTGAGCTACCAGGCCCGTAGCAGCTATGAAACTCAGAGGCAATTTTAGCAATGTTACAGAGCAAGGAAGATAAGCAGTAGAGGGCAGGACCTCCAGAGCAGGAAATGTAATACCTCCCACGCTGGAACCTAATGCTTCTTCCCTCTAGGTTAGAGGGAACAATAAACACCTAGTTTTGCACCTGTTGAGTGATCCGCATAACTGTTAGACATAAAAAGGAATTTTAGCCCTGGATGGTGTGGCTCAGTGAATTGAATGCTGGCCTGTGAACCGAAGGGTCACCGGTTTGATTCCCAGTCAGGGCACACGCCTGGGTTGTGGGCCAGGTCCCCAGTTGGGGGTGTGCGAGAGGCAACCACACATTGATGTTTCTCTCCCTCTCTCTCTCCCTCCCTTTTCCTTTCTCTAAAATTAAATGAATACAATCTTTTTTCTAAAAAAAAAGAAGGTCCCAAGCTAGTAACAGCCCAAAATGTATGGCAAAGTTACTTTTTTAAGTGATAAAGATTATTTAGTGATAGAGAATAAAGCTGTTTCCTAGAGTAAACAGTGGGATTTGTAACATGGGTGGAACTTGGACTCCTGAGCAAAACTTAGAGAGCTCTGGATTTGGAGACAAGTATGACAAAAAGTAGGACTGAGAACTGGATCTAAAAACAGAGGAGCACATGGATGTTTCTTTCCCTCTCTTTCATCTTCCCTTCCCCTCTATTAAAATAAATAAATAAATCTTAAAAAAAAACCCACACACACATACACATAAAACAGAGGGGCAGCCCTGACTGGTGTGGCTCAATTGGTTGGGTATCATCCCACAAAGTTAAAGGTCACTGGTTTGATTCCAGAAAGAGCACACATCTAGGTTGTGGGTTCAGTTTCATGCACCAGTTCAGGGTACATATGAGAGGCAACCAATCAACATTTCTCTCTCACATCAATGTTTCCCTCTCTAAAAATAAATTAATTAAAAATAAAAACAACCCTGGCTGGTGTAGCTCAGTGGATTGAGCACTGGATGTGACCCAAAGGCTCTCTGATTTGATTCCCAGTCAGGGCACCTGCCTGGGTTGTGGGCCAGGTCCCCAGCACGGGGAGTGGGAGAGGCAACCCCACATTGGTGTTTCTCTCCCTCTCCTTCTCCTTCCCTTTCCCTCTCTCTAAAAGTGAATAAATCAAATCTTTAATAAATAAATACATACATACATAAATAAATAAATAAGACAGAGGGACTAATTTGGAATGGTTGGCAATATTACCCACGTTTGAGAAGCATGACTGCCAGCCAGGCACTTAGCCACAACCAAAACAAAAACAATCAGCATTCCTTGCTCTAAAATAAACTTGATGTCATGTCTGAAAAATGAGCTCCCTGAGTTCAGAGATTTTGGTTTGCTCATTGCTGGATCCCCAAGACTGAGAATGGGTCATGCATTAGAACCACTTGAAGGGGCTGTCAAAACACAAACTGCTGACCCGGACTCCCAGTTTCTGGTTTAGAAGGTCTAGGGTAGGGCTCACGAACGTGCATTTCTAGTCCTGGCCAGTGTGGCTCAGTTGGTTGGGCGTCGATGTGCAAAGTGACAGGTCACTGGTTGGTTCCCAGTGGGCACATGCCTGGGTTGCGGGCCTGATGAGGGGCGGGTGCCTATGAAGGGCGGCCCATTGATGTTTCTCTCTCACATCAGTGTTTCTGTGTCACACTGGTGTTTCTTTCCCTCTCTCACCGCCTCTCTAGGAGTAAATAATTAAAAATCTTAAAAAACACACACACATGCATTTCTAACTAGCTCTCAGCTGACACTGCTGGTCCAGGGGTCACCCTTTGAGACCAGGTACAGGTGCTGAAACTAGATGCTTGATATAAATATGATAAGTAAGCGCATGAAGGGTAGCTAAACCAAGAGACAAAATTTAAAGCTCTTCTCAATCGAGTAAGGGAGAAAGAGGAGGCAAGAGAACAGCTGGCTCCCTACCTGCTAATAGACACCTGCCAGGTCAGAAACCCCGCCCACACCGGAACAGTCTCCCGCCCTCTCTCTGACACCCTGCGAAGCACCCGCGCCCGAAGGGGAGGAGCCAAGCTGGGTCCTGGGGTTCCGCGGGGGCCGGCCGGCCGCGGAAGTCCCTAGGGACTGAAAATCAGAGCTTCATTTAGAAGAAAGGGAGCACCGGCTCACCTGAGACATGGCTCACTGCAAAGCCGAGGAGAAAAGGGCAGAGTAGCCTGGGAGAGCTGGGGGGAAAGAAAGGAGCGGTTAGCGTCAGGCCCGCGGGCGGTGCGCGAGGAAGCGGGTCCCAACCCTCCGCCCTCGGCACACGGGGTCAGGGAACCCAGCAGGCCCGGGGAGCCCGAGGGAGCTCCCTTCCGCCCACGAGCTCAGCGTCCCTTTTAATGGGGTCACAGGACGGCGCGCTTCCTCTGCGATTGTGGCAGGGTGCGCGAAGCGCTCCGAGTTCCGGACGGTCATGGTCCGGGCTTGCCTGCGGGAATGCCTGCGCGGGCTGGGGGTTTGGGGGGCCTTTACCTACCTCTGGCCCAAGAATCCCAGACTCTCAGGTCTGCGTCCGGGCGCTAAAACTGCGCCTTCCGGAGCCTCAGGGACCGAACCCCGGGACCAGGCCACGGCTCCAAACATCTGCCCTCTCCAGGATCCACCGCGGCTTCAGCGGTGTGAGTCCTGTCCCACACTACAACTGCCAGAACCCCCCCACGACTACGGCGCCAGAGACAGTGCGGGTCCCAGAGAACTGCATTTACGGACTCACCACCTGGGCCTCAGCAAACAGTGGAAGGAAAGCTTCCCCTCGCACACTACAACTCCCAGAAATCCTCACGCCTGCGGCGCCAGCCTCTGACAGAACGCGCCTCAGACAACTACACTTCCCAGGGTCCTCCGCGAACTCAGCGCGCAGTGGAAGGAAGACTCCCCTCACACACTACAATTCCCAGATCTCCCCAGGACCCTGGCGCGAGAGACAGTGCGAGGGGGAGGTACGGGGCCTTGCACCCCTGCGCTCCCGACCCATCTGCGCCTCAGCACGTGGGGGGTGGGGAATGCTCTCCGTCACACACCAAAAACCCCCTAAACCTGCAGCACCACGGACAGCGACCCCGGCCCCCAGATGACTGCACTTCCCAGGACACACAGTGGCCTCAGCGTGCGGGGTGGGGGGAAGGAGCGCCCACACACAAAAAAACTTCCAGAAAGCCATGCGGCGGATGTTGGGGGGCCTCCAGACAAAGGGCATTGTCCTCAGACAACCACAGCTCCCAGAACGCTCCGCGGCCTCTGCCTCCTGAGACCAAAAGCCCCACCCTCAGACAACTACAATTCCCAGAACCCACTGCGGTTCCAGCACTTCCGTCCAAGAACGCCGGCTTCGGACAGCTTTGGCCACCAGAATCCTCGCTGGCAGGGACTGCGATTCCCAGAGCCCCTCGCGGTTGGTGGAGGGTCCCAAGCCAGCGGCAGCGGTAGCGACGTGCTGCCTCTCTGCAGAGTTGTGGTGCTGTGTCCCCCAAAGCGGAAGGATACTTGGTTCTCGGTACCAGTTTTTGGATTCAGGCATGCTCTCACCACCATTAGCAGTGACCCTCCAGAGACTTTGTACGCTTCATTCCCAAGGGTGACAGACTTCACTGACAGAGGACAGAGCGTCTTACACTTGATTATAAGCTACAGATATGACGTGGGAAACGTGCTCCTTCTGTCCAGAGGCCCAGAGGTCAGAAGAGGAGCCGCTGTCTTTTTAAGGGTGTTGACACTTGCGGAAGAGGCAGGGCTGCTGTTATCACCACAGAAGGGGGAGGAGTACGAGTGGATTCAGGTGATCCACCCGCTGCTTCTTGGGATGAAGTCGGGAATGGGACGGGCACGTGAGGGCTCAGGAATGAGGGTCCAGGTCAAGCCACCAAGACAGCCACCGATGCCCCCAGCGGTGGTGACTGTGAGGAGAATCTGGACTGGATAACATGAGAGAAAACAACTTCAACAGTAGGGGCTGCACTTTGTCCTACTAATTTTCCTTTTCTTTGTCTCTCCTCAGAGACACCTAAAATTGGGACAAACGGATCTAAAGGAGGGAGGGACTGTGTCTTCACTAGATGCGTCACCCAGATCCCTCCTCAAGGACTAGCTGCCCAGATTTTTCAGAGTTGGCCGCCGCTGCAAAGAGCCGATTCGCCTGCGAGTACGCCCTTCCTAAGGCAGCTTCAGATGACGGAGCAACTCAAGCCTGTAAAACCTAATCTTGGCCCAAGATGAGACACTGTTATGAAGAGTATTTGTTTCAGAGCTTCCGTACTGGCTTGGCAAAGATTGCAACAACTACACTGCATTCTGACTTCTTCCTACTGATTCTCCAATCACTTCACAGCCATTGATCCTCCATAAACATCCTGCACCCAAAACTTCACCTTAGTATCTGCTTGCAAAGAACCCAATTTACGACTTTCGTAGGGATATATGGGTTGTAAGTAACAAACACAACCTGAACCAGCTGAAGCAAACTTGGGGATTTATTCGAAGTATCTTATAGAAGAATCCGATGATGAAGGCATGAAAAGGGCAGAGATGAATATGCACGTCAAGAACCAGATTTTGGGACTCACTCAGGGCTGTTCCATGGCTTTGCTTCTATAATGGCTTCATTCTTCTCTCTCATTGCAGACTACGCTTCTCCGTGTGGTAGAAAACATGGGTACAGATAAGCACTCACATTTATATAGTAAATCTTCATTGCTCAAGTTATACAGACAAGATAGTCCCAGCTTTCCAGAAGCTTTCTCATGGAAAAGATACAACATGCAATGATTATATTATCCAGTGACAAATACAGGTACAGGTTCATATAGATTAGATAGGCATTAACAAAAAACAGGAGCATTTCAGTGGCAGATTTGCAAAAAGCATCTGAATGTAGAAATTTCAAGGAACTGCAAGTACAAGGAGGCCAAAAAGTAGTGTGTAGGAGAAAAAGTATTCAGAAATGGAGATGCATGTATTTGTATGAAAGTCCTCACATACCATAAACATATTACACTTTCTTTCTGAAGTCCACAGTTAGCCACATAATATTTCAACACAGGAGTGTGATTGCATCCTAAAATAACAACTATATATGAGTGTGAAAATAGACTAAAAAAGGATGAAGGCATGGTTGCAAAAAGTATGCACAGAGTTGCAAAGGGCCATGGTTGAGTTACTTAGCAATTAGTCAAGTAGATACTAGTAATGAACATCTGAAAGGTTACTACCATATTTGTAGTCTAAGAAACCCACTGAAATTGAAAAACTTGGGTATATATTTCTGAAATATATGACAAAATAAACGACTGTGGTCTCAAGTATGGAAATCAAATGACTATTGATCTACATTCTTTTTAATACCTCATATTAAATCTGGTGTTGTTTAGATTCATCTCAGGATTCTACAAGTGATGTTCTTGAAACTAAAATATCAGGAACACATGGATCCATGAGATAATTTTGTCAGCAAATAAAACATCCCACAATAAAAAGCTAAACAGAAGGCATTCCTGAAACACACCTCAAAATTCATACTGGACTTCCAAAAGGCCTGTTATTTACTAAAATAAATACAATGGAAATGGTCCTTAGTAAAACTCTCCAGGTCAGCGGAAGAACCTGGGTGGTAAGAGAAAAGACGATGCTTCCTATTTTGTCCACTTATGTATTCTATCTTGACATAAGTTCATTGTGCTTCACAAAACTGGAAGTAAATCAACTCTAAGTTTAAAACTGCCTTTCTTCTTGAGTGGGCTTTGTGGTAGGAATCAATGAGGGGAAAAGTAGAGACTTTTTTTTGTAATTTACCAAGGTAATTTAAAAAAGGGAAAATCTCTAATTTCAGGATCAGAGCCCTCTTGGGAAATTTCAGAACCATAGCTCTCCATGAATTCTGCATCAGATATTTTGCCAGCATCAGCCCTCGCTATGAGTAACACCTGTCTGTTACCAAAATAACACTGTCCCTAGGTATTCATCCAATAGACCAGTGCTGAAGTTCCATTATCTAGTGAAGGAAGTACTGATTAATAAAATCTAGAATTAGAATAAACAAAACTTGGAAATTTTTAGTTACAGACTCCTGAGCTCAATCTAAGACCTCATAAATGAATCTCTGGGACAAGGGAAGAATCATAATAAATGGAGGAGTGGGGACCCGTTGGGAAAACCACAAAGTAAAACATCACCCTGCAACCCTTTGTTCATTTTCAATGGTCTGTTTCCCCCCTTCAGGTACTAGGGAGAAAAGTAAGAAGTCCACAAATTTGAGTATGAATTAAATTTTAGAACACTTTAAAAATCACCATATGTAAAGGAATGATCATCTGGCTATTGAAAATTCTGATGCAATGGTTTAAAAAATTACTCTCATTTAAAGTCCCAATTTTTCAATAGTGATGAAAATTGAAAGTTAAAAAATACTCATAACATCAAAGGTGCAATACACCATGCTGACAGAACAACTTGTGTGTGAGAAAAGTCTTGATTTTTCCAAGACTGGAAACAAGGACAATGTAGACTTTTCTGAATTTCACCCCCACACATTAAAAAATTACTGCTGACTTCATCAAGCAACATTATAGAAAGATCACTAAAAAATTCCAGTTGAGCTAAGGAATGGTTCATGCATTTTCAAAGAGTACCATACTTATATAATGGTAAATTTAAAATAGAAAGTTTCCAATGTGGATGATGCAATAAAGAAAGGCGAAACAAGTTTTTCAAGTGATGGTGAAAACCTCGTTTCCTAAGATTTGTTCAGTAATAACAGAAATTTCCTGGAAGGTAAAATAGGCTTCCTCGAATACATCAAAAAATATAATTCTCATCACATAGTTCTTTATACTTTACATTTTCTGAAGAGTATCTCTTAAGTAATTTTTTCACTAATAAAGATATTTTATATAATACCAAAACCGGCAGCACACAGAATCCATGACATTTCATCATAATAAATAAAAATGCAAGTTGTACTTGGGTTACAAAAGAACTTTACATATATTTACACATGGAGACATCTAGTAAATGAGAAAAAGATTTTGCACAGCTCCAGTCATTTTGTTTGAATGCTGAGTAATGTAGTCACACACTTCCTTCCTTTTGCTCACTCAGTCATGAGTACTACTACAATTCTGTGGTTCCTGCCTTTTAATACTTATTGACCAGGTTTTACATAAACTGTCTCAGACTCTAAGGATGCATAAGGCTTTATATAAAATGTTGGCTTCTATTACTGAAGACAAAATTAAGTATTTTGTCAATAAAATTAAGTAACAACAATACACCCTTTATGTCAGATCATAGGGAAATGAGATGTGGTGTTTCCACTGAAGCTCCTATTTAACAGTAAGACATGCTACGTTACTTACCATTTTTATATTATCAGTATGATAGGAAACAAGTTGTATGTGATGTGTTTCAACAGACATCAGAGGCACTACACACGTCCACCTGATGCTCCCAACTACATTACCATGTGCTTTTTCACAATACAACACACATTATGTGACAAAAGAAAGTAAGCCACAAACACCACTAAGAAATTCCTTATTTAGATTTTTCAATGATTCAGTTTATTCACATATATTTAAAATTCCATACTTCAGAGTGAAGATCTGTCAACCATTTAGAATGGGATAGAATTGTGTACAAAAATTACATGGCTTCCCTTTATAGCATTATTTCTAGGGCACATATTTCCAATGTCTTTAAATTGTTAGGTTTACCCACAACGTGAATTGTCCAAAATACCATTGGATTACTTGCTAAACACTGTCCCATATTTAGTGTCTTGATAAAATTTCATTCCTGGGAACATTTTTTTATGTACAACGAGCTGTCATTTCTTGATAAAAATATTACCTCAAGTGCCACATCCAAGGGGGTTCCTTCACCCACTGGACTAGGATTTACCCCTAGTAGGAGTATTTCTAACAGCCAATGAGATCTGCACTCTGGAAGACTTTCTAATATTCTTGGTATTCCTCTTTGCTGTGAATTTTCTACTGCATAAGGTGTAACTATAGTTTGAAAGCTTTTGGACATACACTGCATTTCATAGGCTCATTCCACTCTATGAATTCTGATATATAAACATGTCAATCTGATGAAAGCTTTCCCTACATAACCTCATTTAGAGTTCCTACCCAAAACAACACTGACATATAATGTGATCTATTATCTGACTTACCAACTGCACTTTTTGAAGTACAATGAGTTCAGGTCTCTTTCAAAGACTAATATTAAGTCAATGTCTATCATTTCTTTACTGTATGAGTTCTCTGATGATTAATAAGCTGTGACTTTTGGGAGAAGGCTTTCCCACATTCGTTACATTGATAAGGTTTCTCTCCGGTATGAATTCTCTGGTGATTAACAAGCTGTGACTTCTGGGAGAACGCCTTCATACACTCACTGCATCCATAGGGCCTCTCTCCTGTATGTGTCCTCTGGTGTGGTATCAGGTGTGATTTCCGGGAGAAGGCTTTGCCACATTCACTGCACTGAAAGGGTTTCTCTCCTGTATGTATTCTCTGATGATTGATGAGACTTGATTTCTCCCTGAAGGCTTTTCTACATTCACCACATTCATAAGGTTTTTCTCCTGTATGAGTTCGGTGATGTCTAATTAGCTCCGATTTCTCAAAGAAAGCTTTCCTACAAAGACTGCATTCATAAGGTTTCTCTCCTGTGTGGATTCTCTGGTGAGTATTGAGCTGGGATTTCTGGGAAAAGGCTTTTTCACAGTCCCTGCATTCATAGGGTTTTTCTCCCGTGTGAGTTCTCTGGTGAGTTGCAAGACTTGACTTCTCTCCAAAGGCTTTCCCACATTCGGTGCATTCATAGGGTTTCTCTCCTGTGTGTGTCCGCTGATGCGATATGAGATGTGACTTCTGACAAAAGGCTTTCCCACATTCAGTGCACACATAGGGCTTTTCTCCTGTGTGAATTCTCTGATGATTAGTGAGGCTTAATTTCTCACTGAAAGCTTTCCCACACTCACTGCAGCCATAGGGTTTCTCTCCTGTGTGCGTTCTCTGATGTCTAACAAGCTGAGATTTCCTGCTGAAGGCCCGCCCACACTTACTACATACAAAGGGTTTCTCACCTGTGTGTGTCATCTGATGTGATATCAGATGTGACTTCTGGGAGAAGGCTTTCCCACATTGAATGCATCCATGAGGTTTCTCTCCTGTGTGGGTTCTCTGATGATTGATGAGACTTGACCTCTCTCTAAAGGCTTTCTGGCATTCGCCACATTCATAGGGCTTCTCTCCAGTGTGAATTGTCTGGTGTCTAATGAGCTCTGATTTCTCAAAGAAGGCTTTTCTACAATCACTACATCCGTAAGGTTTGGTTCCTGTGTGAGTCCTGTGATGTGTAACAAGCTGTGATTTCCTGCTAAAAGCCTTCCTGCATTCTCTGCACTCAAAGGGTTTCTCTCCTGTATGGATTCTCTGATGATTGATGAGATTTGACTTTTCACTAAAGGCTCTCCCACATTCGCTGCACACGTAGGGTTTTTCCCCTGTGTGTGTCCTCCAGTGCGATATAAGATGTGACTTCCGGGAGAAGGCTTTCCCACACTCACCACATTCATATGGCTTCTCTCCAGTGTGTGTCCTCTGATGGGATGTGAGCTGTGACTTCTGGGAGAAGGCTTTCCCACACTGGCTACAATTATAAGGTTTCTCTCCTGTATGAGTTCTGTGGTGTGTGACAAACTGTGACTTCTGGGGAAAGGTTTTGCCACATTTACCACAGCCGTAGGCTAACTCTCTTACATGTCTGCTCTGGTGTTTAATGAGACTTGATCTCTTACTGAAGCGTTTCCTACATTCACTGCATTCATAAAGCTTCTCCCCTAAACGATTTCTGTGGTATATAATAATCTGTGACTTCTTATAGATAATTTTGTCATATTTATCACACTCATAGTATTTTAACCAAGTATCATTTTCTTCAGTCTTGCTATGGAGAAATAATTTATCAAATACATTTAAGTCACCTGGTTCTGTTTTTCTATAATCAACTTTTGGAAGAAGTAAGTCTAAATTGTGTTTTAAAATTAATCCATCTACATCACCTTCATCATTTGACTTCCTTAAAGGAACAAGGTTTATGCTCATGTTGAAATTTTTTCCAAATGTATCACATTCATAATCTTGCTTCACATTTTTAAGCTTCTCTTGGTTATCCTGGTGCCACACCATATGACTATTTACTTGCAAGACTTGTTCTATAAAGAAAAAAAAACACGAATCTGTGAATTCTCATATGGGTGCACTGAATAAAAAGCTACAAATATTATTTAAAGGGGTAGATGCTTTTTAAGGTTAGTTTTCCAGTCTGACATAAGCTCCAATAACAATACCTACACTCGAGGTACTAAAAACAAAAATAAGAGAAATGTTGTAAACAGGAAAGCGTAGACTAAGTTATCTTTCGTTGTTGTTAAAGTTTATAAAGTGGGATGACTGTGGAAATACACGAGAAGCAATGAGAACTAAAGAGAAAAGGTTTGAAGAAGCACTGATCCAATGTTCTGAGGAATTAATTTACTTAACACCTACTGAGTGCACACTCTGTGTTCCAGGCAGTATGTGATGTACAAGAGACACAGAGAACAAGACTTTGCCATCACGAAACTTACATTCAATTAGAAAACCTAATAGGTTATATATATTTTAACCCACACCTTAAAATATATTTATTGATTTTAGAGAAAGACGAAGAGGAGAGAGAAAGAAACACTGATGTAAGAGAAAAACATTTAAATGCAAAATTGAAATAGTAGATGCGAATGTTTCATCTTCTTAAATAAGTTCTAAGCTACTGGGAGGTATTTTCTATGTTTCTTACTTTTTATCACTTTAGTAGTCATTATTAAAGCACTGGGTCTCAAATAATGTGGTACACAGAAGTCACTAGCGGGTTCTCAAATTACAAATTCCAGTCCCAGAACACCCAACTTAAAAACTGTATGTGGCCCCTGACTGGTGCCTCAGTGGCTTAGGCATTGTCCTGCAGGCCAAAAGGGGCCCATTCCGCTCCCTGTTAGGGTACATGCCTGCACTGCAGGCCAGGTCACCAGCTGAGGGTGTGCAAGAGGCAACTGATCAATATTTCTCTTGCACATCGCTGTTTCTCTCCCTCTGTCCCTCCTTTCCCCTCTCTCTAAAAATAAATGTTATTTCATTTTTAAAATTTTCGTTTATTTAAGTAACAATAAAAACCGTTTATTAAAGAAATAAAAAATTAAAATAATTAAAATAAATTATAATTTTTTTCATTTATTTATTTCTAGAGAGAGGAGAAGGGAGGGAGAAAGAGAAGGAGAGAAACATCAATATGTAGTTGCCTCTCGCATGCCCAGCCCACAACCCAGGCAGGTGCCCTGACTGGGAATCGAATCAGCGACCCTTTCAGTTCACAAACCAGCACTCAGTCCCACTGAGCCACATCAGGCAAGGCTAAAAATAAATTTTAACAATCTTAACACATACACACACACATGCATGCACGCACATGCACACAACCCTACTGAACCAGCCTCTGGTAACTGATCCATTATGCTCATCATTGGGAAAAAATATCCTCAGGTAATCTGATGCACACCTGGTTAAAAACATCTATATTAAAACAATGGGCTTATGAAGACATATTTATTGAATGAGTATAATGTGTTCCATAATGAAAGATATTAAGTTATATGCTTTTGTGTCTAAGTGTGCAAACAAACTTCAGGAACCAACCAACTAAAAACTATTATACACAATGTGATCAAGTCTAGCAAAGGAAATCAGAAAACAATGAGAAAAATGGAGGCTGGAGCTCCATTTTTGGAGGCTGGAGTCAAGAAACATTTCCTGAACATGAAAGCACTGAAAACGGAGTCTGTGCAGAAAAGATCAAGAGGTCTTAAATATAGAAAGCATAACACAAAAGTTCAGATGCAGAAAAGAATACATATCACAACTGAAAACTCTGAGAAATGTTTAAACGGAGTTGACTGTGAATGTGAAAGGGGGAAACAGACAAACAACACGGAGGTCACTGAACAGATTACATGCTGTAGCAGGTGCTCTTGCCGCCTCATCTACACCCAGGGGACACCTGCGGCTCGGGTGGATGGTGGGGCTTACCCCAGGCACTCGCATCTCTCCACTGGAGAACTTTTCTGGGCTGCAAGGGCATGCCTGGTTCCCAGGCAGGGATGCTGGACACTACGAAGTCAATGTTCCAGAGCAATGCTCAATCAGAGATGGCAGCGGGAGGGTTCCCCAGAGGGCCCCCAGCAGCACCAAGTGCCCATGGCTCACCCGTCACTTTCTCCCACTGCACCGTATGAATCACATCCCCAGTCAAGTCTTGCCCTCCAACAGTTATCTCACAGTCTGCTTTGGAGGGAACCTGAAATTGGTTGATGTCAAATAGCAGATAATGAGCAGGAAGGTTTAACTGATCTGAGTAGTACTGTATACTCTAAGAACTGAAATGGTGGCATCACTGAACTTACGAAAGATTAAAATCTGACTCACTCTAGCAATTTGGGAACTTCAGGAATGAGACAGGATGGGTCTAGTTTTAAGTAGGAGTTGAGGAGGGAATGTTTTAAAAATATATGTCTGAAGGGGAAAAAAAACATAAGTAATAGAAAGAATGGTAGAGAGAGATCACTCAATGTACTCCACGGCATCTAGCCTATAGAACAAGCACAGCAGAACCTGATTCAAAAGGGAGGACAAGAACACCACGTTTAGGAGGAATGCTGACCCCATTTCCTATCATAAGATGGAACAGAGTGGGCTTTCACAGCATATTGCTCAGGGCATCTAACACATCCAAAACGAGGAAAAAGATAAAAATGTTGAAATGTGCAAGCAAAGGTGTCTTTGACCAGAGGGCAAGGCAAGGCAGGAGAGTAAACATTTCAGAGGCAGAAAACCAAACAAGAGGACAAAGCCCAAGATGTGACAGATGTGGAGGATCATCGCAGCCCAGACACATTGGACACATTTCACTTTAAGCTTCAAGCAAAGAAGCCACAGTAAATGTGAGTTCCTGAGTAGCACATGTCGAAGGCTGAGAGAAGTGAAAAGGAGCGCCCCACAGCACATGGGAAGGATGCCAACCCACTGAACAGCTAGAACTGCACTGCTACCTTCTCTCACCTACCTGGTCCTCACACACTCACCTGGAGACTCTGAACTTGGAACCTCTCCATCTCCTATCCAAGGCTCTTCTCCTTGTTCCAACTTGAAGATGACATCAGGTTTCATAAATTCATACCCTGTTCAAGGGAAATCACAAAGCCCTTGGCCCTGAATGCTTGGACTTTAGGGCCTGAGCAATGGGCATGGTTTGGGTCAGAACTGACCCAGTTAAGCTCATCATCTGTGAATCAACAGATGGTTACTAATTCTCAGAGTGAATAATTCTCAGAGAAATAGTAATGGTCTCCCTGGTAGCTGACAAAGTCTAAGAAACTGACTTATAGTTCACGTTCAAAGCCATTAAACAATTCCCAAGCTCTAGAGCCATCGTGCCTGGGTTCAAATCCCGACTCTTCCATTTACTCCATCAGTCCTCAGAAAAGGTACATAACCTTACTTAGCTTCAATTTCCTCATCAGAAAGCAGAGGGAAGCTTTCTTTACCTTTGTAAAGTCGTACCTTTTACAAAGGGTTGCCCTAACAACTAACAGAGTCAGGACGGGAACAGCACGGGGAGCACAGGAAGGTGTCCGTCTGCACAGGGTGTTTCCACCACCGGGACTACCACTGGGTTTCAGAGGCTGCACAACAACACTATGACTTCATTACGGGAAGGAGAGATCCAACTACTTCACCTCCCGTCACAGTACAAGAATCTTTGATCTCCTATCTTTAGGCCCAAACTCATTACCAGCTTCAGAGCCCCACAAGCTCTCAGCAACTAAAAAACAAACAAAAACAACAACAAGGTATTGGGCACAGTGAGGTCCTCTGGGAAGCTTTTCTTACCCAGTGCCACCAGGCTGCTGTAGTTCTCCAGCATGACATCCTTGTATAAGTCCTTCTGAGAGGGGTCCAGCAGTTGCCATTCCTTCTGGGTGAAGTCCACAGATAAATCTTCAAATGAGAACGGCTCCTGTGAAAGCACAATCCTGCTGAACCTGAGGCAGTAATCCCTCCGTGATGTAGAAAAGCCAGACCAGAGCTTTAGCACACTGCTCTGACCACAGCAAGTCTGAGACTGCCCTTACTGTTGTATCGCACCATGGGACAAAAGGCTGCTACAGCTTCTTCCGTCCTTTCGTTTACGTACGGCTTTGTGTACATCAGAGAACTTTGTGCACAACAATGAACTCCTTGTATTGTTACATTAAAATCTATGGTTTTGTCCTGTTCTTTGAATGACTCATTTATTTACCAATGAATGATTTTATAACATGCATTGCACATATGGAAATTATTGGTTCCCTGTGTTAGTATCTTCTGACAAAAATAAAAAGGGTTTAGCAGTTAATTCTGTAAACATTTAATACAGAATCATTTTCAATTTTACCAAACTGTTATGGAACATAAAAGCAAAAACACAACCCTAAACTTTTTGATACCAGCATAACCTTGGTAGGACAGGAAAAGCAAAGACCATTCACATGAACACTGATGTGAAAATCCTAAACATGCTACTAAATTATAGTGAGCAACATACAAAGAAAAAATATTCAGACTAGATTAGTTTACCATAAATAAAAAATAAGTCAGCTGTGGCTGGTGTGGCTCAGTGGCCTTTGAACCAAAGGGTCACCAGTTTGATTCCCAGTCAGGGCACATGCCTGGGTTGTGGGCCAGGACCCCAATAGGGGGCACTCGAGAGGCAACCACACACTGACGTTTCTCTCCCTCTTTCTCCCTTCCTCCCCTTCTGTCTAAAAATAAATAAAATACTCAAAAAAAAAAAAAAGTCAAGGATATTCACTACCTGAGCAGAGTAAGAAGAAATATCTAATCACCTCCACAGGTGCACATCGAGTGTATCTGCAAAGGGAAGCATGTGCATGACAGGAACTGCAAACACAGGAAATCTAACGAAGTTAAAAAAAAGTAGGTTTAAAATTTATAAAAAGGACTAGATTTCTGAAGGAAGGAGGAGATGAAAAAGAGAAAATCAACAAACTAAAAATTGAAAAACAATTCACATTTATGTTTTAAAAAGTCTTGGGAAACTCGGAATTTCAGTGGAATTTCTTTTTACTAAAAAAGGTGTAGCTGAGCCCTGCCTGAGCTATCTAAAAATAAATAAAATCTTTAAAAAAAATTTCAACTTCGTCCTGGTTCCAAATGGAATAAAAAAAAAAAAGGTATAACTTTGATACGTTCACACTGGATGGCCACTGTTGTGCAGATGTTGACGTTTTCTTAGTGGACCATCTCAGGAAAAAGAGGTCTGTGCCCCTGACTCAGCAGCCGGCGCTACACAGTTTGGAAGCCCCTGCGGCACACGGGCTGAGAGCCGCAGGTCTGTGCGGCAGCACACAAAGCCCACCTGCAGTGCTCAAGGTGGAAACTTCCAAGGTAAAGGTGAAGGGAAAGCAAGAAAACGGTGGTAAGCCAGGGTCCTGGCTGCCTGTCGGGAGGAAGTTGTGACTGGAGAGGGCACCTATGGGTGTCCTTTGTCAGGAGGGGAAGTTATGAACTATAATCGTATTCAGCTGAAATTTCATTAAGTGGTTCTTTTACCTTTTATGTACTTTCCTGCATGTGATTCTGCTTCACAACAGGAGGTAAATAAGTAATTACGGTCACTAAGTCCTGCTTTGTCATTTTTGCTTTGGGTCACTCACACTGTGTAAAACTAAAACAAATGGCCATAAGATCTGTGTATTTATTATAATGTTCCTCTTCAGGACATTCATCACCCACTGTATCATTTATTCAAAGACTTCATCAAGCATGACCTAGGAATATTTACTTTATATGAAGAATCAATTTGCATAACGTAACTCACATAAATGTTCATATTTATTATGACTGCCAAAATTTTGAGGACCAAGATTGCAGCTCATATTCAGTACCTATCAATATGAATATACTCAGTAATTATGGTTTATAAAAACTGAAGCCTTGAGAATGTCTCAGGACCCATTTAGGGTGTTAATGCTCCAAGTCTGTCCCACTCTGAATCTCCTCCTCTGAGGCTATTTTCTCCTGATTTCTGTCTTTCTTTTTTTTATCCTCACGCAAGCAGATACAGCCTGATGGGGAAGGATATGCACCCTAGGCATGTGCCCCGACCAGGAATCAAACCACAACCTTTATACTACAGGACAATGCTCCAACCAAGCCACAGGGCCAGGGCTTCCAATTCCTCAATTATTTTCTTCTATTTCACTGGGAGGCTCACACACTTCTAACCCCTGGAAAAACAATGAGGAATAAACAACCAGCTCACCTGCAACATGGTCATTTTCTGTTCTCTGCGTAAAATGATTAGCAAGCCTGAGACCTTTGCGTTTCCTCTGCTTGCGCCGTGGAGCTCTGGTGTGGGGTCCTGTCTAGGTCTTTCACACTGAGGATGGATTCCTGGCTCCAGGAACTCCTTTCTTATCTTGCAAGAGCTGGCTCACTGTGGGGAAGCAGGATCTGCGGACTTAGGGACCAACGCAATTCAACTGGTATATTTACACTGCACCTATGATCTTCCTTTGCTAAGAACTGGGAATTCATGACCTGCTAAAGTCTGAGTGTCTTCTGCATAACTGAAACAGGGCTACGGGGTAGGAACAGAACATGGTGCAGAAAAGCAGCAGAAGTCTGTTTCTGCGAACAGATGAAAAAATAACAGTAATACAGTCAGTCTGAGGTCCATTCGGTGTTCACTGTGGTCAGTGAAGTCTAAGTCACTTCAGAAGGTGCTGTGAAGAAACTCCATCTTCAACAGATGGAATTTTGGGAAGCTTATGTGACCTGTATTAAAACAGACTAGATTGCCTCTCGGCCTTTTGGCTAAGATCAAGCGTAGTATGTTCTTAACAATCTAATATCTGATTCGTCCTCTACTTGAGGAAAAATATGTTAAATGGATTTTTGGAGCAGGGAGATGGAATAGGAGCTTGCTCTGTCCACTCTGCACATGGAACTGGTACCACAATACTTTTAGGAACAGTGCACAAAAAAAATACACAATAAACACATACAAACAAGTAGGTGTTTCAATAAAACTTTTCCCTTTACTGGCTATGTGACTTTGGGTAAAAACAAACTTAATTTAAAAACATTAATTTATTATTATTATTATTCTTACAGAGGGGGTAAGGGAGGGAGAGAGGTAAACATCAATCACCTCTAGTTGCACCCTGACCAGGGGTCGAACCTGAAACCCAGGCATGTGCCTTGAGCAAGAATTGAACCAGTGACCTTTCTGTTTGCAGGATGACACCCAACCAAGCCACTCTGGTCAGAGCCAAACTTCATTTTTATGAGCTTTAGTTTCCTACTGTAATTGTCAACCTCTAACCTTCCACAACCAATGTCTACCAGTTCTATCAGCTTCTGAAGGTCGTGTGCTAGCTCTCCCGATATGATTACAGACTGGTGAGTTTTTCCTTGTGAGTCCACTGATGTCTGCATTATGTGCTTGAGGCTATGCTGTTCGATGTGTAGAGTTTATATATTTCTGGGGAATGATTCCTTTACCGTTATGTAATGACACTCCATATTCCAAATTATGCTGCTTTCTTGTCTTCCAAGTCCCCATGTCTTTACTTGCTAAAACGGTGGAGCGTGGACCTCTGGCTGGCTCAGTGGGATCCTGAGGAATACATGAGATACTAAAAGGGAAGTGCCTAGTTCTTTGTAGTAACCATAGCTGACATCTGTGTCTTTTCTACACATAAGGCACAACACTAGCACTTTATAATTTACCCTCACAGATGACTCGGTAAGGCACTTAGCAAAATCTCCATTTTACGGGAAAACTAAGACCTGGAGTGAAACTGTGCCCAGGACTGCACAGCTATTAAGCAGCAGATCTGGAATGTCATATCCTCTTGCTTTGTTGAGGGCATTAAGTACCAAAATCCCAGTGTCACTGGGTGTGTTGATTCACACATCCACCCACATACCTTAGAATTAGCTGATTTCAGTCACCTTACTTCCATAAAAGCACACCTGGAGAAAAGCTGCTCACCGACAGACCACTCTGCGGAGCAGCCCGCAGAGAAGAAAACCAAGCTCCTCCCCTTCCGGCCTCTCTGTGATTCAAACTTTGGTGCCCGCTCAGAAACGCATACGGAGGTTTCTCACAGCTACACCGGAAGTTACTCCTTTACACCTTCAACTATGAAACTATATGCATCCTTGGACAGGAGCTGGCACACATCAGCACTGAACAATTAGCCATAATCATGACTACAAAAGGAAAATATGACAGTGAAATTTTGAAATGTGTATTAACTAAATAAGAAGTAATTATTACCTATGATATAACCATACCACAGACAACCACTCTTAGGAAACAGTGGAAAATATCTGTACATTTTAAACAAAAATAAATAAATACATGGTACATTTAAAAATTGTTTTTGTCACCCTGACTTGTGCGACTCAGTGGATTGAGCATCTGCCTGTGGACCAAAGGGTCGCTGGTTGGATTCCCAGTCAGGGCATATGCCTGAGTGGCGGGCAGGGTCCCCAGTGCAGGGTGCAGGAGAGGCAACAAACACTGATGTTTCTCTCCCTCTCTTGCTCCTTCCCTTCCCATCTCTGTAAAAACAAATAAAATTGTTTTTGTCTTTTTCCCACTATAGAAAGACTATCTTACCAGATTAATAAACATAGTTCTATAGTATCAACAGCTTTCTTATATAAAACAATGAAAATGTAGAAAATAAAATATACTCATAATAGAAAAAATACATAAAATATGTAGCAATATACTTGACAAGAAATATGTAAGATCTACATGAAACAAACTAAAAACACACATGGGGACTATGAAAACAGACTTCATACATGCACAATTTGGTCTTCTGGGGTAGAAAGACTTCATATTATACTACAGATAATTTAGTCAAAAATTATTTATCTCTTTATTAACTCAGATCATAACCTCAAAAAGTTTTCCTTCAACAAGCAAAAAGGCTGAGGAGCAGCGTGGAACCTTATGGAGATACAAATTAATGAGTATAAACAGGTCCATGTGGTGTTAACCAACTTCATAAAATTGTAATAGTCATAAAAGCATTCAACACTGAAAAAAAAGATATACAGATGGATAAAGCATTATAGTTCAAATATGTAAGAATTTAGGATGCAACTAGCATTACAAAGCCAAGAGTAAATGGATTACTTCATGAGCAGAAGTGGTAACATCTGAAAGAAAATAAAGCTAGTTCTGTGTCTCTTCCATTACAACACACTACCTCCAGGTCAATCATGCAAACCACAATACTACCCGAAGAAAAAACAGTTGAATATTTAGGTAACTGGGGGAAAATTTTTCCAAACATAATACAAATATAAAAGCAATCGAGTTTTTTTTTCCAAAAAGTCAATACATTTAAACATTAAAAATGCAAAAACCTGTATATGGTTAAAAAAGTATCAATCATAAAGGACACACATACCCAAGCCAGGAAAACATACCCTAACGAATATGTCATTTCCTTCGAATTATGCTTCCACTTTACCTCATTTCATGTAATAAAAATTCTAGCATTTGTCCCTGGCTGGTGCTGCTCAGTGGATTAAGCGCCGGCCTACAAACCAAAGGGTCGCCAGTTTGATTCCCAGCCAGGGCATATGCCTGGGTTGTGGCAGGGTCCCCAGTGCGGGCTGCATGAGAGGCAACCACACACTGATGTTTCTCTCTTTTTCCTTCCCTTCCCCTCTATAAAATAATAAAATCTTTTTTAAAAAATTCTAGCATTTTAATGAATAAAACTATGTTTATCAGTGAAACCATTTCCTCAAGCACACAGCCCAATCCAGAACGTTATTTTTGAGTTTCCTTTGTAATTTTGTCAGAGACTATTCAACAATTTTTATTTTAATTTAAAAAATGTTTTTGAAAGTTGGCCCTTGCAGGACAAGTCCCATCCCTAAACTTTTGTTTTAAAGGTTTTATTTATTTCTTTTCAGAGAGTGGGGAAGGGAAGAAGAAAGAGGGAGAGAAACACCGATGGCTGCCTCTCACACACCTCCAGCTGGGGACCTGGCCCACAACCCAGGCCTGTGCCCCAACAGAGAATCAAACTGGCTTTCATTTTGCAGGCTGGTGCTCAATCCACTGAGCCACATCAGTCAGGGCTCCCCACCCCAAACCGTGAACTCTTGTATTTGGCGGTCACATATCCCCTCATCAGTGGAGACTTAAGCTCTTCATCGGTGCTTTTTTTTACCTTGGCCATTTCCTGCAGAACACTGCAGCTCTGGGTCACAGCTCTCACATTTATCTTCAGAAGGAAGCTACCTCCCTCTTCATCCTGTAGTGCCACTCAGCATCAAGTTCTGAAAGAATTTCAGAGGGCAGAAAAAGAATAAAAAGTAACATTTATACTTAAGTGTCAATGTCCTATACACCATATTGTCTTTTTTAAAGCATTCAGCATACAGGTTCAGGAACTTGCCCAACATCAATGATGCCCCAGGAAGTGGCAGATCTGGGCCACTAGTCCCACGCTGTCCACCCCAGAGCCAGTGACTGCAGACTCTCAGCAGCACTGCAGGGGGCAAGACCCTGTTTCTATTCCCAGTTCAGGAGTGATACAGTCCCCTGTGCAGAAAAGGTGGCGGCAGACTGAGCATAAAAACAAGAGGAAGAGAAAACTCTTGCTCTTAGAGGCCAATTGAAAAACTCCTCAGGTAAACTTAAACTCCCCAATTGGGAAAAAATATTCCAAGTTACAAAAAGATATTCATGATATATTGCAATGGCTTTAAGCAGCACATGCAGCATATTCTCAATTTTGTTTTTGAAAAATAAATATAAATAAGATGTACTGAAGACACATACACACTTACTAAAAGAAATGGACCAAAACGCTAGCAGCGACTCTCTTGTTAATGAGACAAAGATTTGCATTTGTTTACCAAGACTCTCCAAATTAACTACAGTGAACATATTTTAAATTTTTAACGGAAAAAAGTATAAAAATATACATCTTTCTTAAAAGATTTTATTTACTTAGAAAGAGGAGAAGGGAGGGTGAAAAAGAGGGAGACATTGACGGGTTGCCTCCCACGCCCCAAACCAGGGACCTGGCTGGCGACTCTGGCCTCTGCCCCATGGGGAAATCCAACCCGTGACCCCAGGGAGCCACACCAGTCAGGGCTAAAAAAAATTTTTTTTAACATTAGTCCTTAAACCAAGGAAACAACGGGCAAGCAGAGCAGTTTCAGTCTAGCAGTACATGGCTGAAACAAAGTAAACAACATAATAATTAAAATAAAAAGTATGTTTTAGTGAGAGCAGAAAGCATCGAAGCTAGGGGGGAAAGTTCCTTTCTTCTCACTCCCTCATTTTCATATGAAAATTGTTCAACCCGGAAACCGGGAGTGGAGATAAGGTGCTCAAGTCAGGGATGTCCGGTCTACAACAGCTGCCGTCAAATCTCCCCCCCGTCCAAGGGGCTGGCGGAGCCGGGGGCGGGGGGCAGGATTTTTGTTTATCTATCTATCTATCTATTTATAGGGGAGAACCCCTTTAAAAACCTCCACTGAAAAATGTACAGCGGGATGAGTGCAATTGAGTTGGAGGAGTCATCAGGCCCGGCAACCGTCCCCCCGGCCACCTACACAGGCGCCGCAGACACTCACGCAATCGGCTCCCCGGGTGCGGCCATAGGGTTCCAGCCTGTCCACGGGACCAGGCCGGGGCTCACAGCCGAGCACATCCACGGATGCCACGGGCGGGAGGCACTCCTTTTAAAAACCGACCTGAAAGAGAACGTCCCAAAGAAGTAAGAACCCAGGGGGCCGAGGGAACGAAGCCTCAGGAGAAAGGCTGTGGGCCACCCAGAGGCGGCGCGCTGACTCCTCCCGACCGACTCGCCGCGCGCGGAGCACCGTCAGGATGTCACCGGGTCCCCAACTCCTCCGAAAGACTGGGGCCCGGGCCCAGTCTCCTCCCTCGCCCTCTGGCCAGGTCCGTCGGCGCCCGCCACACCCCACCGCGAGCACCCCGGACTCCCCGCCGGCCTCAGCGCGACGCCTACCGGCTTCGAAGCCTGCAGCCCAGCGACCCCTACAGTCCGGGCCGGAACCCCACACACCCCGGCCGACGGCCCTCCCTAGAAACCCAGGCCGGAATCCGAAACGACGCCGACACCCACCCCCAAGCCGCCGACCTCGGACGCGCAAGATCCGGAACCACGTGATGCAACTGCCGCCCCGCCCCTCGGCCAGCACAGCGCCCCCGGCCCTCCGGCCTCGGTGCGGCTCCGGCGCCTCCGCGATTATTACCAGCTGCAGCAGGGTACGAGGCTCCGTCCGCACTCGCCTCTGCGCGGCTGCGAAGGACAAAGAGACCGGGCTCAACCCGCAAGCGTCGGTGACCACGCGAATGCGCGTGCGCGAGAGCAAGGCACCTTCGGACTACACTTCCCAGAAGACTTAGCGGTTTGGGCGTTCCGGCTTACTGGGAATAACCGCCCGCACCCGAGCGAGTTGCGTGAATAAGCTTTTGGGAGAGATGTAATTAAACGGTTAGGATTTGAAAAGAGCAGGAATACAAACCTAAAAGAAGATTAAAAAAGAAAGACAAGTGGTTACTCCACCAATATATATTTCAATTATCTTTTCAGTTCCTTTATGAACTTTATTAGCATTTTGTCATTTTCGTCATAGATTCTTGGTTTATGTAGGTTTTTAAAAGAGTTGTTCCCGGATCTCATTTTAAATTCAACATTGTATCAGGTGTATTCATAAGTAGTTTATTATGCCTATGACATCCAATGACCTCGTTAAATTCACTTTTTATTTAGAAATTATTTCATACTACTGAAAAGAAAAAAAAAAGTACAGAACTACAGAAGTTCAGAGTACTAAAGAATCCCTAAAAACTATTTTATCTGTACTTGCCAAATGTTAACATTTTACCAAGTCTGCTTTCTTCATAGAGTAACATATTTTTCTTGTAAGGTAGGACCATGAGTTGCAGACATAATTCCTCCAAATTCCTGAACACTTCAGTGCCTAAGTCCAACACAGTCATCCCATAGTCTAATCACAGGAAAATGATCAAACTGAAGAATGAACATAAATGCAGTACTGTTATCTAATACACAGAACTCACTCAAATTCCAAAACATGTCCTGATGTGCCAGAAACAGAGTTGGGTTCGGTATCCAGTGTCGTGAGTCTTGAGTGCCAGTGCACCCGGGCGGTCTTCCAGACTTTGTCTCACGCCCTCAGCACTGGTTCGGGAGGTGCTGAAGGGCCCTCACCGTGTTTGGTAGATATGACTTGTGATTTAGATTCAGGTTAAGCATTTTGGCAGGAACACTACAGAAGTGATGTTGTATCCTCAGAGAATCATATTAAGTTTCATAAATTAGTTTGTACCAATAATGGCAATATTAATTTTCATAGTTTAATTAAGGTGATAAATGCCATTATTTCTTTGTGAAGTTATTTTTCCTATTGTAATTAATAAGTATTTTGTGGGCAGATTTTTTGAGACTAATGAAATATTCTCTCATAAACACTTGCACCCACCTAAATTTAGCATTCATGAATGATTCTTGCTTTTCATTTGGTGTTTATTAAATTATATTCTACAGTAAGGAAGTTTTCCCTTCTTCCCTACTTGTCTATACATTTGTTTATGTCCATATGGATGCATGGATTCTCATCTTATTCTGGGGGTTATAACCTCTTATATTTGGATGCTCAAGATGTTTCAGATTTGGTCTCTGCTTTCAAGCTGGTTGCAGTTTCCTTTTCACAAAACCTCAGTATTAAATTCTGAGGCTTGTTCCATGGCCCAGCATTTGACCTATACTGCAGAACATTCCTTGTGCACTAGAGAATGTCAACTCCCATGCATTTGGGTGGAGTGCTCCATACACGTCTCTCATCGGTTTTGTGGTTCAAATTGTCTATTCCCTCATTGCCTTTCATTGGTTAACTGTGTCCCCCCAACAGACACGTGAGAGTCCTAACCCCCACACCTCAATGTGACCCTCCTTTCACAGGGCAATTTTAAAGCAATTAGCATGTTAAAATAAGATCATTAGGTGGATCCTAAACCAATATGACTGGTATCTTTATAAAAAGGAGAAATTTTGATGGAAAAAAATAGAGAAAATGATGTAAAGAGACAGAGAGAAGATGGGTATCTACAAGCCAAAGAGAAGCCTGGAAGACTCTTCCCTCACCACCCCCAGAAGGAGACAACCCTCTGGCACCTGATCTCAGACTTCCTCCTCCAGAACTGAGACTTTAGGCAAACACGTGTTCTGTAGCACTTTGTCCCAGTGGCCCTAGCAAGTGCATAAAGATTCTGTACTGGAAAACAGGGTGCTCCTACAGCCGATGCCTAAAAATGTGGATGTGGCTTTGGACTTAGCAGCAGAAGATAGTGTTTAGAAGTGCTTGAGAGAAAAAGCCCAGACTGCATTGAGAAGACTCAGCAGAAATACAAATGGTGAAGGTACTTTTGGTAAAGTATTGGAAAAAATGAGTGACATGTTACTGGAGATTGGAGGAAAAGGGGATTTTTGGAATAAAGTGGGAAAGAACTTGACTGACTTGTATTGTTTTGTGAAAAGTAGAACTGCCAAGTAGTGAACTGGGACATTTAGCTGAAGAGATTTCCAAGTGCTCTGTGGCTGAATGTTCTGTCCACCGAGCCCATGGCGGGTACGGGCGGGGGTACTGCTCCCTCATCCCTGCCTGGTAGGCCAGCTCTCTGCCACTGAAAACAGCCTCGCCTTCTGGGACCCAGGGAGTGGTCCTGCCTCAGAGTCATTCCCCCTTTTCTTTAAGGTCAACCCACGTTTAAAGCTAGATCCCTCTATCGGCCAACTTCCTTCATTTCAACCGTTCTGTGTCCCCATCAGTCCAAGGTGGTAGAATTTCTGCTGAGATATTTGGATTCACAAGTCACACACCCACCATCTTTAACAGCTGTCCAGGCCACATCCTGGGTGTCCTGGCCACAGCATATTTTCCCATTTTTAGTAATATGCATAAACTGTCTTCCCAGCCTTTAGGATCTAATTCCTTTATGCTTAATTCATTTATCAGTTTATTTCTGTCCTCTTGCATCTTACCATCAGCAGTGAGCTGTGGTTGGCCTGTGTGCCTGGATGAAGAGCACACAGTCCGACGTGTATCGGAGCTTGCTAGGCTGTTCTCAGAATCCTCTCAGATATCTGTACCTGAATTATTAGGAGCTTGTTTCTAGACCAATGCAAGTTTGAGGTGGATGACTTTTTTAGTTCAGCAAACCAAATGTGTATCTGGCTTTTACCATCTCAGCACGACAGCTGTGAGTGAGCGACTGCTTCAGCCATGTCACAGAGGTGCAGAGTTGAATGCTCTGCTTTGAGGAGAGGCTCCAGGGCTTCAAGCCTGTCACTGTGGAACTCAAGGGCCAAGATAACCAGAGGGAGCTGTCTCATCTCCAGTCCCAGATTTCCTCATAAATGTAAAACTCTTCCATGGCAATAGTTCCTCAGAATTCCCAGAATCTCCTCAGGGGCCACAAGGTTTCTGGTGTACGCAAACAAGAACACCATTTCATCCTACGAGCTAAAAAGTTTGTCTTGGAACTTAAACAAGAATCTGAAAGATTTTCTTCATTTCAGGAAAAAACCTCTAAGCCACAAACTGCACTTGTCTCTGCCACTTTGTTACCTACACACTGTTAGAGGCAACAAGTTTATGGACTAAAGCCCTGCAGTTATAAGAAACTCCTCCTGAACTTTAGCAGGAAGAAAAGACCCACTTTTATTAAAAAGTTATAAAGAAGCACCCACAAAGCCAGAAAACCAGGTTCCAAAAGGGAGCCTACCGAGTCATTCTGGGACATCAGTGGAGCAGGAAGGAGCTGATGGTCTCTGTAGGGCTGTGAGACAAGCACATCCGAACTCCGTTTCCCTTCTGGTTCACCTGAGATTGATTAGACTCCAGGTCCTGGAAGAGGCTCCCCTTCCCCAACAGTGAGAGTGATGCCCGCCTGCAGCGAGTGGACAGGACACCCAGAAAAACATGATGACAAGACAGAGCTATTTCTCCAGAGAAAACTAGGGTGCTCATATGGATGCACAGGAATGGCTACTGACCTGCTAAAATGGGGGTGTCCAACCTGTGACCCACGGGCCCCATGTGTCCCCAGATGGCTATGAATGTGGCCCAACACAAAACTGTAAATTTACCTAAAATATTATGATTTTTTAAATTATGTATTGCAATGTATTTAATATGTGACCCAAGACAACTCTTCTTCTTCCAGTGTGGCCCAGAGATGCCAAAAGGTTGGACACCCCTGAAAACGCCCTTGACATTCCTCATGGTGAGCTCCCTCAAGCAGCCCTGTACTACCTGCCAGACTTACATATGTAGATTCACAAGTAAGTGACCCCGTTTGGGGTTAGAACCATGTCTTTTCATTTATTAAGTCACATTATATTATTTATATTGCTAAGAAATAGACAATACTGATATTTAACATTACTATGAAGAATATTGGAGGTGTTATTCTGCAAACTATCAAATATATGTATAACAAGTTACATTAAAAAATAAAATAACAAAATCTTTAAAAATGCTATTCAGTGTTGCTCAGGAAAGTCACACTAAATATCCCTTATCCTGCAGGATATGTTCCTTCTGTTTCCCTGATGTTTTATTTACATATCAAAATAAAAGCCTTTATATTCCACCATGAAAAAGTCTAAGGTTTATAATTATTTCCTTCCTTCTAAAACATAGCTTCAAATCTGGAATGTGACTCTCCACATAACACATTTTCTACAGGAAAACACTTTCCCAATTTATTAAATTTATAAAGTGTTCTCAGAATGAATCCTCCAAATTAATGCCTCATGATGCCATTACATTCAATACAGTTACTGCTCGGTTCCTTCCATTATTCTCATCTACAAAGCATGTATATGACATTTCTAAAAGCTTTTGCACACTCACTCCAAATATGCTTGGTTTCTCTCCTATATTAAGTTAGTATGTGTATTTTTAGACTTTCTGCTTATATGTCCTTCTACATTATCATCTGAAGTCTCCTTAGGAGCAAGTTTTATTAGACTGCTTCTAACGTCTACTTCATCCTCATTTCACTTGTGAGTTTTTCTGTGTATGCGGAGCCCTGAATTCCAACAGAAGGATTTCCCACATTCAGAACATTTCCATGGTTTCTCTCCTGTGTGGACTCTCTGATGTTCACTGAGAGATGACTTCTGGGTGAAGGCTTTCCCGCACTCGCTGCATTTGAATGGTTTCTCTCCTGAGTGAGTTTTCTGGTGGATCTGAAGTGATGCCTTCCGAGGATAGGCTTTCTCACACTCACTGCACTCGTAGGGCTTCTCTGTTGAGTGAGTTCTCTGATGTATGATGAGCTGTGACTTCCCACAAAAGGCTCTCTCACAGAAACTGCATTCGTAGGGTCTCTCTCCTGTGTGCGTCCTCCTGTGTATAACGAGGTACGACTTGCTGCTGAAGGCCTTCCCACACTCGCTGCACCCGTAGGGCTTCTCTCCTGCGTGAGCTCGCAGGTGGGCAGTGAGCTGTTCCTTCCGACCGAAGGCCTTCCCACACTCACTGCACTGGTAAGGGTTATTTCCCGTGTGAATTCCCTGGTGGACAACGAGCTGCGTCTTCATGTTGAAGGCCTTCCCACACTCACTGCACTGATAGGGCTTCTCACCTGTGTGCATCCTGATGTGAACGAGCAGGTATGACTTGCTCCGAAAGGCTTTCCCACACTCGTTGCATTTATGGGGTTTGACTCCTGTGTGAGTTCTCTGGTGGACAATGAACGGCGACTTCAAGCTGAAGGCTTTCCCACACTCACTGCATTCATAGGGCTTCACTCCCGTGTGACTTCTCTGGTGTAAAATGAGCTGGGACTTCCAGCTGTAGGCTTTCCCACACTCACTGCAACCATAAGGTTTCCCTCCTGTGTGAACTTCCTGGTGGACAATGAGCTGTGACCTGAAAGAGAAGACTTTCCCACACTCGCTGCACGAGTAGGGCTTCTCCCCCGTGTGCACTCTCTGATGAGCGTTGAGGTTTGACTTGGCGCTGAAGGCTCTCTCACACTTAGTGCACTCATAAGGTCTTTCTCCTGTGTGAATTCTGAGATGTACAATGAGCTGTGATTTGCAGCGAAAAGCTTTTCCGCATTCACCACAGATACAGTTTTTTTCTATACTATGAGCTCTTTGACGCTTAAGAAAATACGATTGTTCGTACCCATGAAACTTATCAGGACTCTTTCTGAGACAGCTTCTGGTTAAACCTGAGTTTTGTGTCATAGTTTTTCCATGTGTGTTATACTTATGGAGTCTCTGTCTTGAAGAACTATGCGTTTTGCTCAGATGAAGTTTTCCAAATGCATTACACGCATAGTTTCTCTCAACACTTTCAAGTGCATCTTGATTTTTCTGGTACCATTCTTTCCAACCTTCTAGAAAGGAAAATATTTTCAAAATCATAACATGAACATGATATGGAATGAAAGAGCTTTAGAGCTGCCACGTAACAAGCCTCCCCTTGGAAACAGGCCTCTGACGCCGGTTCAGAGACACAGTGGCCTTACGCACCTGCACCAGAGAGCTGAGTGTGGAGGCAAGGGGACCGGATCCCACCAGACCACGTCCCATTGTGGAAATGGGTAGCGAACTGGCAGTGACCAAAGGTGGTTTTCAGTACAGATGTTTTAATAATGCCTAGATTTTAAACTTGAGAAACACGTGGTCCTGCTCAAGATGAAAAACACTGGGAGAGAAACATGTTTGGAGGAAGAATAAAGGACTTTGTTTTGCATCTTATTACATTTGAGATCTCAGTGAAATATGAAAGTGAGGACAGCAAACAGGCAGTCAGATCTACGTGCTCAGTGAAGAGCAGGCGTCAAGAGCGTATGAAAGGGATTCAGTGACAGGACAGAGGACTCTTGGAGGGAATGTGTGCAGGTGAGAAGGGGCGCCTGCCCAGCCCTGGAGTGGGTGACACTTAGAGCTGGAGAGAGAGGCGGAGAGGACAGGAAGGTCCGCCTGTGAGGCCCAAGCAGGAACGCGATGCCGAGTGACAGCTGAGCAGGCGGGGCTGAGGGAGCGGCAGCAGGTCTGGGTCTGGACAGCTGCCCCCTTATCACACTGTCACCACAGGCACCCTTCCACAGCTTCCTTCCTGAACTGCTTCTCCCCACAGTGGTGCGACGGTTCAGTTACAGTCCGTGCCTCGAAGCAGAGCCACTAAACTCCAGGTTGAATGGGAGGATACTGAGACCAGTGGCTAGAAGGGAGCAGCTCTTAGGCCTAAAGACTATGTCTAGATAACTGTGGGTGTTGTTACTGGGTTAACAGAGATAGACAGAGAACCGAGTAGAAGCCTGCTAAGTTTTGAAGGGAGCCCTAAGTCCCTGATCACAGGGTGCTCTGATAACACCCTGTGATTCTTCAACCCTAAATGCCCCAAAACGTGCACCAACAGAAGTGGGTTAATGAAACTTTAAGTAGCCCCCAGAGAGTGGATTCTCCCCAACCTTCTCTCACCCATGGCCAAGGAGGACACGAGCAAGGAAGACCCTCTCAGAGTGAGGTGCCAGGAGTTGTGCAACTGGCTAACAAGGGAATTGTACCAATTATACCAAAAACATCTGCCCTGCTCTTTTTCTAAAAGGGATGTTGTGAGCAGTGGACCAGTGACAGCCGTGGTTTCCCCTCCTCCCCTTCTGGAAGGAGGGGCTTCTGTGGCAATATTCGGGTTCCTTCCCCATCACTGTGTTCATCTGGGATAGAAGATCTATCTACTACCTGCATGTCACCTCCTTGGTCCCTGACATCACCAAGCTTCTGAATTAAGCCACTGTGGAGGCCAGTCTTAGCTGTCGGATGGTGCCACACACATCCCAAGAGATCCTGGACTTGTAACTCAGTGCAGGTCTGGGAAGAGAACATGTCCCGCTTTGGGGACAGATGGTTATCTTTCATGGAACATCACCACTCCGGAAGATGCACAGTTGGAAAGGAGAGCATGTTGTGTGGAGTATCCAGAGGTGGGACTCTGACACACCTGTCACTGTGTACCTGAAAGGCATCTCCCTCCTTCTGTGCCGTAGCCCTGACTGGTGAGGACACGGTGGAGGTGGTCTGGCTGGCAGAGGCAGGGACCCGTTCCCACACCACGGTTGGTTTAGGCGCTGGCCTGGCAGCCGTGAGATGCTGTAAGTTGTTCAGGCTTCTGGGAAAAATTTCAGGCACCAATGAAAGGGATATTTTGGCAAGAAATAGGACTTATCCAGGGCTCCTGCTGTGTCTTCATGTCATGCCTGGCACCAAGACACCTACCCAGCCATGCTGAAGAGAAAAGCTAACATTGGGGAAGACGAAGGGGGACAGCTGGAGCCCTGACGCCTGATGCCACCACGCTTCTGACACCGTGGAGCCGCTGCCCTACAGCCAACGATTTGTCCTTTGAGACTGCAAATCCTTTGTTGTTTACTGTGGTTGAATCAGGGGTTCAAGATACTTGTTTAGGTTCTCGGACTTGTGATGGCATGTTTACGAAAATAAATCCAGCACCAATAGCTAAGGAAAAATTGAGTTCTCAAATACAGCTAAGAAGCTGAAGTGTGACAGAATATTGATCTTGTCTCGGTGACAACTGAGGAGGCAGGAACTATAAGGATATTTCAAAGGACAAGATACCAACAGAAGTGAAAGCAGTACCAGGATTAGCCAAGGAGAAAACCACAGGGGCACCCGAGGTGGGCCCAAGAGCAGAACGGAAGAACGGTAGTGCAAGACAGCGATCACAACAACAGAACACGGAGGGAGAACGCCGACTTCAGAAGAGGTGACTTCCTGCTCCACACACTGGGGATGAGGATGGAAAAGCGCAGGGGGCTCTCCTGCAAGCATGTCACCCCTGGGACTAGACTGCAGGAGGAAAAGGGACAAAAATGTTGATTTTGATGCTACAACACTGAGAGAAGTAAAAGCTTACATGTTCAGAACGGAAAAGCTTTTCAGTAGTTATAATATAGCCCTGCCTGGTGTAGCTCAGCTAGTCAGAGTTTTGTCCCGTAAACCAAAAGGCTGTGTTCGATTCTTGTTAGGACACATACCTAGGATGTGGGTTCAGTCCCCAGTCAGGGTGTCTACAGGAAGCAACCGATCAAATGCTTTTCTCTCACACTGACTTAAAAAATAACAATTAAAAAATAATAAAATAAAAGAGTTATAAATATGAGACCAAACAGCCAAATTTGGGAAACAAACCTCTTTGGACAACTCAAATGGGAAAAGAAGCCAGAGGAGACCAGGTCAGGCTTCAGAATTGTTTGAAGAAAAAAAGTGCCAAGAAAGTAACAGTTATAGCTTCAAAGCAATCAGTGAGGAGAGAGGAGGCAAGGAAATCCCTGAAGACAGTCAGGGAGAGGAAAGGAAGTAAAAGGCTGTGGGTAAGGTCTAAGAGATGCAACGGTGACGGCAAGGGGACAAGGGACATCTGGGAAGTGGAGGCACGAGTGACACCAGGCAAGATGCTACCGGCCGATGGGGCCCATGACCATGGGGAGGAAGGCACAAAAAGAAGGAGCCCAAAGCAAGGAAACCAACCCGGAAAACGCCATTTGGGCAGGGTGCACAGAAGCGAGGTGTGCCTACCTCCCCGAGCCAGGGGAGGAAGCCCAACCGTGGGCGAACGGCAGCCCCTGCCTGACCTGGGGAGCTCCCGGACTCCCCCAGCCACCCCAGTGGTTCAGGGACTCCAGACAGAAGTTTCTACACACAAGGCTGCCTGGATGGCACCCCATGGACTCCGAGGCCTCCCGTCTCCCTGGTCCCCACGCACCTACCTGAACAACGCGGACGAGAAATTTTGGCATTTATTATCCATGGCTCTTCTCCTTGCTCCAACTTGAAGATTAAATCAGGTTTGGTACCATGATACCCTGTTAATACAAAATCGCAAAGGATGTGGGCCAAACTGCTGGGGACTAAGGGGTCAGGAGCTACAGCGTGAAACTGCTCATTAACACTTGAGGGAAAATTATAATTATGAGGTGACGGCCAAACAGGGAGGAACACCTGACCTCTCAAGTTCAAGCTCATAATCACTAAGTACTTCAGAGGCCCCAGGGCAGGGCAGCAAAAGGAAAGGGATGGCAACTTCGGAGTCACAGTCGGGGTTAGCAGAGAGGTATACTCACCCACGGACACCAGGTTGCGGTAGTTTTCCAGTATCACGTCCCTGTACAGGTACTTCTGCACAGAATCCAGTAACTGCCATTCTTCCCAGGTGAAGTCCATAGATATATCCTTGAATGACAACAATCCCTGTAATAACACACACCCCGTTCACATGGGCACAGTTACATTAGGTGGCGTGGAAAAGATGTGGCAGAATGGGATGGGAGAGATGTTCCTTCGCAGGTTGCTTCCTCCAGGTCAGCATTTGTTTTGAGAGAGAATTGTGGAAAAAAAAAGTCTTTGCGATTCTACGTGCCAGATGCTTTTTGGGGACAAAAGATTTCAGGATGGATAAAACCCACTTCTGCCCCTGAGAAGCTCGCAGTCTTGCACAGGGAAACAAACATCTACACGTGCAAACAAACGACACAAGGCGTTTTGAGTCTTTGATAAAACACAACCTGGGTATATTTTGCACAGAGCTAGAGAACAATTCTAAATAAAGGTGCCAGACACATGGGAGGGTCTGACCTTCCGGAAGCATCTGTCTTCTTACCTGCTACTCAGCCCACCTTGAGTCTCCGTGGGAGTGAGGGCCTGGAACTATAAAATGTGTACCGAAGAGGTGAATTCTCAGCCTTCTTCCAAGAAAGTGTGTGGCCTGTAACTGAGGCGGACCAAGACTCAAAGTGTGCTGGGGGAAGATGAAGGTGCTGGGGCCAAAGCAGGAGCAGTGGTTGGCTGCCGGGTGTCTTGTGAGGACAGGGACAGAAGACATCCTGGCGGAGGTGAGGTGGCATGCAGAGAAAGGGAAGGGTGTCGAGGAAAGCAGACCAAGATGCTGCCCTTTGAGGAGTCTGGGAAGCCTGAGGGGTGAGAAACGCAGCAAACGAAGGGCTGAAGGCCGTGAAGAAGCTGCCAGAGAAAAGTTCCCTGCAGTGGGCCACTGAGAGAGAAGTGTCCCCATGGAGGAGAGTTCCCATGGGAAGAAGGGATGGAAGAGACAGTCTCTCATATGCAGCCTAGGTGCCCGCCGAGCCCTCTGGGAAATTCTGAACAGAGAAAGTGCTGGAGCGCTCTTAAAACGCAGATGAGAAGTGATGCCCAGAAGAGTCCTGGACTTGATCCCCTGGACAGGCTCCCCTACCAACAGCACTGCCTGCAGGGAGAAGGACCTGCAGGGAGAGACAGGGAGTGCAATTCCCCGGATGGCCACACAGGTGAGCGAGTGAGACGCATGCACACCGTGGACGTACAAGGCTCAGTGCGACCCCTGTGGCTGGGCGCTGAGGGCCAGACTACAGGAGCATCTCTCCTCTCATCACTGACCCTCCCACCCCGATCCAGGAGGAGCCCTCACAGGAGGGCAATAAGAAAATGAAGCGGGAATACAGTGATGAGCCTCTCGTCTCCCCTCTGCACCCTGAGAGCGGGAAGAATTGGGGTTGGAATGAGAGTGTGAACTGGACTTCCCAACACCTGAAAGTAACTGACAGCCAAGCAAGACTGTGACTGGACCATAGTGGGCTCTGCTAAGAGGACCACCAGGGCCCAGGAAGAAGAGCCAACAGGGAAGTCTGAGGTTGTGATGGTCAAAATGAAGCTGCGGCTTGTCTGTATCCTAATGAAGTCCATCCAGGCCACGAATCAAGTTGGCTACTTCGTGATGGAGGGAGGAGAAACGTGAAGCCAGGCATAGAGATGTGACCACAGAAAAGCTAGGAGAAGATGCCACAATAGTGAGTGCGGACCAAAGTTGCTGATTCTGGGGACAGGATGGAAAGAGCAAGGTGCAGAGCAGGGAGTGGGGGTAAACCAGGAGGCTTATTCTACTTTAAGCCTTTTACTATTTTTGAAGCTTGATGTGAATAAAAATAAAATACAAAGAAAGTATTTAAAAATTTAATTGGCCAAGCACTGTTTAATTGGTCATGACTATTATGACCAAGGCAGGGCCCCTATTAAAAATTTATTAGGACATCTCTATACACTGGTTATGCTGCTGTAATGAGATACATACGCTACAAAAAAACCACTACTATGCAAAATCGCACAGGAAAAACCATAGGGCTCATGGGAAAAATAAGACCTGTGTCAACAACACATACAAAAAGAAAACCAGTAGGTGTTTTACCTATATTTCATGGTTAAGAAATACATAAATATGCTAAAATAATTATGATACTTTACCTTGAAAAACACCTGATGTTTGGGTATCAGAGGGGCTGCAACTTATTATAAAGTGGTAAAAAGAAGGTTGTCTGAAATCAGAAAGCTCACTTTTTCCCCTAAGATAATTACATTGAAACAAATTGACATTTTTAAAGCAAACATGATAGCGGAACTGACTGTATTTACAAATTCATTGACAAGATGTCAATGAATTTTAAAACTTAGAATGGAAAATTTTCTAGGAAAAGAAAACTAACCAAAATTGGCCCAGAAAGAATTAGGAAAGCATGGATGACTAGCCAATGATCATAAAACAAACTCCAGAAAGATAATGGCCTCACATTATATTTATTTTTTTAATATTTTATTTATTTATTTTTAGAGAGAAGTGAAGGGAGAGAGAAAAAGGGAGAGAAACATCAATGTGTGGTTGCCTCTCTCCAGCCCCCAAATGAGGACCTGTCCCGCAACCCAGGGGTGTGCCCTGACTGGGAATTGAACCAGTGATCCTTTGGTTCACAGGCTGGCACTCAATCCACCAAGCTACTCCAACCAGCTAGGGGTCACATTATATTTAGAAGTAAGTTCTATCAATACCCCAGGAATAGAAAGTCCCCATCATATCTGATCGGATGTTGAGCCAGGAAATGATGCAGACAGCATATCACACAGACTTGCAAAACCCCACAGACAGTGGCAGACAAGGACAGCATGAACTGTAGCCTAACCTCATTTATTAACTCTGGTCGATATTCCTACAGAAAACTACTAGTGAAATAAAATGAATTCTGTACATACACACATAGTAAACTGAGAGAAGGAAGTTTATCCAAAAAACTAAAGGACAATCCATTACGTTATGTGCTCTTTTCTCAAATTTGCAGGGGGTAAAAAGGACATTCTCCAAACTTCCACGTCTTTTGCACTCACTCCAGTCCTTCTTCACAGCAGTTCTTTCCTTGCCACTGCAGAGTCCTCTACTCGGTCCTTTCCGAGGCTCTGTTCAGTCACACCCTGAGCTGACACTGTCGTAGGTGCCTCTCCTCTATGTATTTCTAGTTGAGAGTTCCCGCTGAGCTAGACTCGACTACAGGCAGTGCATATTCAACACCTACAAAACCACCCTGGTCCCTGGGTATGTCTTCTAACTATGCTCCCACGGCCGGAACACACTGGCGTGCGTCGCGGGCCAGTTCAGCCATCGCAGCGGCTGTGAGGTCGTCGCTCTCGACCAGTCCATCAGTCCAGGTGGTCCACAGGACCTCTCCTCCTCCAAAACTCCTCTCCCTACCCATTAACCTGCCACAGTGCCCAATGCTCACTTTTGATTACCCTTCCTGCCAGACCACAGCTCCTCCAAAACAAGAAACATACATAACTTATGTTTGCACCTCCAACACCAGCCCCCGGGTCCAGCACACAAAAAAAGACTCTCAGTAAATAAGCATTTGAACAAACACAAAGACAAAGAGGAGGGTAACTTCCCTAAAGGGTCCCTAAAGGACTGGATATAAAGACGACTTAGTCCTTAAGTGTGAAAAACCTGAAGTGATAGCGGATCCTTTCCGTAAGGACGCTCGTTTTCCTCGGAGTTCAGGGTCCGCAGCTGGCGATCAGAAGGGTTGCCGAGGGAGACGGCCTCGGACACGAAATGCTACAAGACCACGTCTCTGGAGATCCAGAGCCCGGGCGGGTGGGGTCGAGGGCAGCCCGTGAGTTCCGGCCCTGGGTGTGACTGCGCAGGGATGCACGTGTCCGCGCTCGCGCGGTCAGCTTTAAAAAGTAAGCAAGTCCCTACTTACCCAACACGAAGCTGTCCGGATCCCGGTGGCCATTCCGCGCTGTTTCGTGCAGGCTGCCGGGAACAGAACCAAACCGTAAGGGTCTCCCTGCCGCCTCCACCCTCGTCCACCCAGGAGAGACCTTGCACCCCACGGAAGGAGAGTCCGGGGCTGAGTCCCTAGCAGGGACGCGGCCTCCGAACCTGGGCAGAGGAACTCGGAGCTAAGGGTCTGTACCGTTCCGCGGCCCTGACGCGGGAGGACCGAGGTCGGACGGGCCACGGAGGGCTCGGCTGGCCAAGGTCCTGGTCTGCAACGCACGCTCAGAGCCGAGCTAACTCTGCGCTGCCGCCGGCTCCGCAGCCACAGGCATTGAGAACGCCCCCTGCCCGCGCGCGTCCACTGACAGCACGCCAGATCCAGCACCGCAGGCTCGTACGGACAACAACGGCGGCGCGGCGCACGCGGAAGTACGTCAAGCGTCAGAAGCCAGAAGGGACGGTCAGGGAAGAAAACTACATCTCCCAGAAGCCTCTGCGAAGGGTCCCCCTAACTGGACCAGCTTCTAGAAGCAGGCGGGAATGGAGAGAAGTGGGGAACCTAAGGTGAAAGTCAGGCTGGCTAGCGGGCCTCCGCGAGAGCCTCGGGTCATCCGCCCCGGGCACCGTAATGCCCCAGCTCGTGCAGAGCCCACGCAATCGGGGAAAAGTGCGGCCTCGATAGAGGGACAGGTGTGCTCAGGTCTTGATGTTGAACAAGGGTTCAGACCACAAGGCGGAGCAGAGAGGAGCACTTTGTGGGGCTACACGCTGCAGTTCCCGGGGTTGTAAAATAGCTTTGCTTATCAATGCACCAAATAATACAGTTACCAACTTCATAAAGGAGAAAGTACAATAGATGAATAAAGAAAAATAGAAGTACATCAATAACAGGAGCTATTTACATGCTTCTCTCAGTCCAACACAGATCAAACGACCCATTCTCATAACTGCAATAAAACTATAAATAGCATAACTTTTACAGGACTTCCTGTCTGACAATCTTTTTAAAAGCTTTCAACAAATAGTGAATGAAATAGAAAATACAGACAAAATGTAGACAACACTATACAAGAATTTATGGGAGAAACTTTAAGCCATGATGACCGGGAATTTCATAACCTTGAGTAATTATAACAGTAAAAACATAAGTGCATTTAATTCTCAAAAAGTCATTAAAAAACAACAAAGACAAAAGAAAGCAAAGGAAAAGAAATTTAAGGATAAAAGCAAACGACAAGATTAGCAAGAAAAGACTCAATAAATACTATGAATCCATTTAGTTGACAGAGAACACTACCAAGACTTAAATGTACATAATTTTTATGAACATATGGAACTGGATTTATCAAGGTTAGTTTTTCCTGTTTAATTCCTTAATTTTTTTTTATTATTTTTTTCTTCCCATGGTTGCATTTAATTCTCCCTAAATTCCTCATTTATTTTCAGTCCTTTTGTTCGTGCTGTTGGATTGGATGTATTAAGACATACCTACATTACTTTTATTTATATTTGTTTATGTTTTATATATTTATTTTTAGAGAGAGGGGAAGGGAGGGAGAAAGACAGGAAGAGAAACATCAATCAGTGGTTGCCGCCCACGCGGCATGGTCCGAAAACCCAGGCGTGGGCCCTGAGTGGGAATCTAAACTGCGACCCCTTGGTTCGCAGGCTCGCCCTCAATCCACTGAGACACACCAGCCAGGGCTACTTTCGTTTCATAAATTCTTTCGTTTCATAAATTACTTTAAGGTATGATAAAAAATATAAAGGATAGAGAAGTTCCCTTCTGCGGACACAACTCGGTTGATTTACGCACATTCTGACCCTTAGCACTCTCTCCACTAATCTCTGAACCAAGCAACCGCCGCAGCTGCAGAGCGGCTTCAACTCCTGAAGCTGTCTATCCCGCAGAGCCCGCTGGGAAATGTAGTCCTGGAACAAGCGGATTTCAGGGAAATGTAGTTCTGCGCGGACACAACGCCGTCGGGTGGTGTCAGCTCCGAGCTGCGGCCCCAAGGGGTAAGAGTGTGGGGGGAGAGGCAGAACCGTGAGGTTGCGGCCTGCGGTGGCCCCCGTGACCCTCGCTGCCCCGCGTCGAGCCCGGCGCGAGCACCTGCCGGCCCTGGAGCGGGTGCCAGGCAGGCCCTCCGGACGGCCGGGCGGCGCGTGCGGTTCCGGTCCAGGTGGGTGGGGGCCGCGAGACGCGCGGAGCTGGAGGGAGCTGGATGCGGTCGCGGTAGGGGACCGGCGGAGCGTACGAGTGAGTGCTAGGCGGCGGGACGGAGATGTGGGGGGCTCACGGCGGGCCCGCCCGTGGTAGCGGGACGAGGGACTGTGTGGAGACAGTGGAGCTGATTAAATCTGGGGACACTTGAGGGTAGAATCTGAGAAAACCAGTAAGTTGAGGCTGGGCAGGGAATTAAGTGGGCGAATCCCTAGGAGGGGCTCTAGGGGTCCTTCGGTGCGGTGGAGGATGTGGGGGCCCGAAGCAGCAAGGGCTGGTAGTGGGGGCGCCCCGGACGCTGCCCTTTGGAGTGAGGGGGACGCAGGCCGCGGGTTTGTTCGGGGGAACCGTTAGGCTCGATGATCGACGACCCGGATGCCTTTAGGAAAAATGGCGAGGCGTTGTGGGGCACCTACAAAGGGTATGGGGCACCGAAGGGTTGGGTGGAAGTTTTCATCCGCAGAGCGGCCTGCTGGGGCTGACAGCGTGGGGTCGCACCTGCCACCCTCCGTGTCCTGGGAAACAGCTCCCTGCAGAGATCCCCTTCCTCCGTGGCTGGGTCAGGCTCACACTGGCCCTCGTGTAACCAAGTGACAAGGCCAGACGCTGACCCTCCAAAGTCTTTTTTGCCAACTTAGTGATTAGTTGAGCTGTATGCCCCACTGACCGGTGAGGACCAAATGCTTGTTAACCCGCCCTAGCTGGGGGGGGGCGGGGGCGGGGGGGGGTTGGGTTGGGTTGGTTGGAACGTCGGCCCCCATACCAAAAGGTTGCCGGTGAGGATTAAAAAAAAAAATCCTTGTTAACCCAACTTCTCTCCTTCCCCCAGTTCCCTGAACTTTAGTCCCCGCTCACCTGGCTCCTCTAACCTGATTTACCCCTCTCTATATAAAAGAAACCAAAACACTCTGCGCGGAGCACCCCAGTGTTCTGCCTGTGGCAGTAGGCCCCACCCAGTAATCCTTTGGAATAAAATAGTTCTGTACTAAGTCTGCATTTGTTTTTTTATTGACTGATCCGTGGTTGATTTCTCAGCGGAAGGGACTGTAGGGGGGCCTGTGTAGTGTTTAGGGTCTGGTAATTGGGGCATCAGAGACTGCGGCACTGAGTGTCAGTGACAGAGAGCGAGATACTAGTTAATGGGTGGCCTTTTGGGGGTTTGAATGAGCTGACAATGGGGCGAGTAACTGGAGTCGTAGGAGGGGCTGGGGTACTGGGGTTTGTGCAGAACCAGAGGACCTTTCAGGGTGATGATAAGGAGAAACGGTGGGGGTACCACAGAATGGTGGGCGAGCACGTGGTGGATTGGAGAATTTCGGATGGGAATGGTTGAGGGGTCTGGTGTGATAAGAGACTGGGGACACCTTGGAGTTTAGTGATGGGAGCAGCAAGCTCTGTGAGAGCAGGGGTGAGCACCTGTCAGGGTGAGTGAGTGGGTGCCTGTGGGAGGGAGTGGTTGGAGTTCCGTGGGCTTCTTGGGGACCCAGTGGTTGGGGTTTCAGTGACTCACTTTTCAGCCAGTGAACAGACTCTGGAGGTTACTGTCCCGGGTCTGGGAAGCCCATGGTGGTGTTTCTTGGCGTCAGTGTTTAGAAGCCTGCAGGAGTCAGTGGTTTGGGGCCTGCAGGGGTGCATGGGCTGAGTGAGGGAGCCTGGGGGGAGGTGAATCAAGGGTCCCGTGGGTGTTGGCTTGGGGGCGGGGCTGTGGAGAGGCTTTGGGTTTCATTGATACATATACTCTTATGGATTGGATTTGTCACTTGGGGGCTGGCAATTGGGGACTTCGTTAGATGAGTTATTGGGGACCCACAGTGTGTGTGATTGAAGGTCTTGGAAGGGTGGACTGTGAAATCAATAACTGGGGCCTTGGGGGATGGGTGATGGGCACACAGGATGAGTGACAGTGGGCATGATGTTATGATTTCTAATATATATTTGGTCATTCAGATACTGAGGTCTTTGGGCATTTCCTCTCTGACGTGTTCTTATGAGGGAAATATCCCTGCGCAGTCCACGCCCGTGAAGCCCTTCTCTGGCCCCAGCTGTGGCTGAGTATAGGTGACCTGGTCCATAAGCAGTGAGGACAACAAAAGTGTTGGTATTTTTATACATCAAAACATAGTATTGTTTGTTTATTATGCTTATTTTAAATCTTGGTTTGTCTGTCCCAATAATTCTGCCTAAGGTGGTAACTGTTATGCAGTTTATGATCCTTTTAAAAAAATTATTATTTTTTTATTTTTTAAAGAGAGAGGAAAGGAGGGAGAAAGAGAGGGCAAGAAACACTGATGTGAGAGAGACACCCACAGGTTTCCCCTCGCACATGCCCCGTGGACAGAACCTGCAAACCCAGGCCTGTGCCCCAGCTGGGAATCTAACCCAGTGACCTCTCTATTCGCGGGGCGATGCCCAACCGACGAGCCACACCAGCAGGCAGTGTGTGACCTTTTAAAGGTGTTAAAAATAGTGGTTGTACTCAGTTATCTGGCTATTTGGCCTGTTAGGGAAATAATTAAAACCATGATCTGCAAACCCAGAAAAATTCTCCACAGAAGTAGAAGAGAAAGAACAGTTTTACTATTGAATCCCAAGTAAACCCGAGTGCGAGGAGCATTGTGAGCAGTGTGCGGAGGGAGTAAGTGGGGAAGGCTCTCCTTTGCTGTGGCCAGGTAGATGCAGCCCACCACGCCCGTTCTCAAGGTGAATGATCACTTGGGACACACAGTCCATCCTTAATTTACCAGGTGACTGGGATGGTCATCTGTGTGAGCTAATTGCCTTTATCCAAAGGAAAAAAATATTCATCCTTTCACATCATGATGGAGCTGGGTGCCAAGATCAGGCTGCTGAGGCTCCCGCCCTCCCAGAAACTGGGAGATGGCCCATCTTCCAAGAGATGGCTTCCAGGTCCTTAAGAAAGACTTTCACATTCTTGGACTGTTAAACTGGACAAGGCTCATGTTGCTTTGGAAAACATTAACATACATCTCAAAAGGGCAGGGGAAGGATTTGCAATTACAGATTTTTTAAAGTAAATGCTCTTTAAATAGGTATTGGGAGTTTCTTTCCCTTTTTTGCATGAGGGAGAATTAGGGTTGCTTTTCTTATTTTTCATTTACAGTTGCCCTTATAGGCCTCTGAGCTTGTATTTTCCTAGAGGTGTTAGCTACTTTCGCACAAGCTGTGGTACCTTGCAGCAAGGAAGGGCTGAGGCCAGGCCTTTGAAGAGAGGGGTGGGTCCCTGTGGAACCACTGGGCAGCTGAGTCCCTCTGCCTCTTCCAGCAGCTCCTCAGGTCAGAAGTCAGGGGTCCTTAGAAGGAAGCCCCAGTGGAGCATTTTCCCCGGGGAGCGATGGAAGCAGGGGGATGAGTCCAGGCCCCAAGGTCACTGGGCAGCTCTTGCCTTTTCGTTGGCTTCTTGGTGCAGCAGCACTTTGATCTGCCTCCGTTCTCCCTGGAGACCTGTGTCGGGGCTGCTCTGCCCCAGTGGGAGCCAAGAAAGAAGCAACGCGAAGGTTTTCTTAGGCCTCTTCTTACTGCCGTCCACTCTGGGCTGCCACGGTGTGCGCTCAGCTTCACCACAGCCTGTGTCTCGCTCTTGCCATTTATGTTAGTTCTCTGACCTCTGCTTCCCTCTTGCCCCAGAGCTGATTTGGGGGTGGAGAGCCAGCACCTCATGCTACTTCATCTTGATCTAGAAGCTAGTTGCATTTCACACCTATGCAAATCATTTGATTTAAGTGACCCCAGGAATGTGCTGGTTTGATTCCCAGTCAGGGCATGTGCCTGGGTTGCAGGCTATGTCCCCAGTTGGGGGCATTTGAAAGGTAGCCAATTGATGTATCTCTCACACAGTCCCTGTCTTTCTCCCTCCCCCCTCTATAAAAGTAAACAAAGTCTTTTTTAAAAAAGATGGTATGTTCAGACTTTGCTGAGGTGTCTGCAGAGCAGTATGAAGGCGGGGAGGCTCTGGGTGTGTTTGGTTGGCACTTCCAGGTGGGAGCCAGGGCTGCCGAGGGCAGTGTCAGGCTCAGCTGAGACCTGCGGTGGCTGCCGTTCACTCCTGCTTCTCATTGGGGCGCAGCAAACAGCTCCTCCAAGTTCCCAGTAAGAGAGAATGGAGATTTACTTGTACCATCTGAAATAAAATTCCCACTGCATCCCTAGGCCGTGCTCTCAGGAACAAGATGACTGAGGCGGGATAAGGAAGCAGAGGTCTCAGGGCCGGAGGTGCAGTTTACAGCCCTGAACAGAGGCCTTTCTCAGAGCGTCAGGACAGAGGGAAGGCTCAGAACAGCAGACTTCCCCAAAGCAGCAGAAAATGATCACGTCACAGGTGAGTTATCTGTTTATTCGCCACACCTTTCTTCTGTGGATGTGATGAGGCTTACAGGAATCTCTACGAGCAATAGGAGAGGGTTACGTATGTTTGGATCATAGCCAGAGAGAAGAGTGTAAACCCGGTAGGGATGTGGAGAAGCAAAATGGATGCAGAGTCGTACCCAGCCTTAAAGCTGGAACGCGGAGGGGTACAAGCAACGAGGCCCTTCACCGTCAGAGACGAGCTGCGAGCTTTGCTGAGCTGCTCCTGAAGCCAGCAGCGGGGACGAGCAGGAGCAGCTCCCAAAGGCAGAGCAGTTCCTCCTCCACCGGAGCAAGCCTTTCCTGACAGTTACATGGAGAGGAAACACGTCAACCGCTGTTGACGTCGCTGATACTGTGGACGGTGTCCTAAACACCAGTCCTAAAATAAACACATTCATATGGAAGGGTTCTTCCAGACCCCAGTGCCAGCGAAGGGCATGACTCTGGAGGCGGCAGAGTGCTGGTGCTCAGAGAACCAGCAGGGGGCGTGCGGGACACATGCTGCCGATATTCTAGTTTTAAGAGAGAACCTGAATCACCAGGCAGAGGTGATGGTTACAAAACTTCCAGATGGCCCTGTAACCTTCTCTCAGAAATGTTTTTGCTGCTTCTGTTGGAAAAAATCCAGGCACAAGGGTGTCTGCCTTCAGCACTGTTTCTTTACTTTGCTGACTCAGGAAACAGACTCATGTCCCTTCACCTTTCAAAGCCATTCCTACCCACTGAGCTTGCTTTCTTTAAAAAAATTCTGTTGTCTAAACCTATGCAGAATAATACCAACTTTTCCCCTTTCTTGGTGTGCAGTTAGGTCAGATGCCCAGCTGCCAGGTGTCGAAGTACCTGGTTAAAGCAATGGCTGAGGTGAAAGTAACTGAACCTTTCATCATGTACCGTGATGGTGCAGCCAGAGCCTAACCGAGGAGGCACCTAGCCCCCACGCATCGCCCACAGTACACAGGCCAGGGGTCAGGTGCATCAGCACAGATGTGGGGTCAGCCCACTTCCCAGGGATCCGCAGACAACGAGCTCCAGCAGTTTCACGGTCCTCGGTCAGGAGGAGGGTGAGGTGGAAGGTCCGGGAGCAGGAAAGTACCCGGTACTGAGTCAAAATGAGCAGTGACTTCAGGTCCTCCTCTCCCTCACCCTGTAAGGAGCTCTTGGCCAAAGCACCTGAGCGAGGCCTCAGATGCGGAGACCAAGGCTGCACAAGTTCATGACCAGCCAGGGTCCTGAGGCCCTGACTGCAGTGCCGTCCCAGTCTGCCCAGCAGGTCTGTGTCTAAGGACAGTGTCCCCTGGAGGCCGGCCAGGTAAAGCCTTTGTCATTGCCTGCGGATGGGCCTGAAAAATCCTGGTTTCTAGCCCACAGCCGGATTCCTTGTGTGAGTTTTAAAACATACAGTTCACGTACTCCCCATCACAGTCACAGTCCACCTCTGCAGACAAACTCCGAGTCTCACCTTCCTGCATCTCTGACCCCTGGCAACAACTGTCCTGTCTTCTGTCTCCAGTTCTCCTTTTCCAGAATGTTACCTAATGGAATCATGTTTTTGCAATTGATTCACATTGTTTGTTCCTTCTTCTTGCTGAGTACTTCTGCTGTTTGTCTTCCCTCTCCCATATCGACAAAATGTTTCCCTTTGAGGACTTTTTTCATCTGGGAAAACAACAACAAAAAAGTCACTCGGGGCGAGATCAGATGAATAGGAGGGTGGGGCAGGGGGAATCATGCAGTTTTTGGTCAAAGACTGCTGAACACTCAGATGGTGTGGGCAGGTGCACTGGTAAATCACCCATTATGAAATGCGCAAATTCGTATTTTGAAAGAGTTCAAAAACAAATTCACTTGAAGCTGAACGCAGCCTCTCACCACAACACCAGCTGGCACAGATGGGTTCCTAGAACACACACCTAGGATCTAGCGAGCGAAGCCTGTACTAAAGGGGCCCATTCTCCAGAAGATAATTCCGGGGTTTTTTGACCCCCTTGTTTGTGTTTACTCTTTCACTAATACCCCCTTGTTTAAACTACTGTGGCTCTACAGGAAGACTTGAAATCAGGTCATGTGAATACCGCAAGGTTTGGTTTTTTTTTTTCCAAATCATTTTTGCTGTTCTAGCTCCTTTGCCCTTTGTCCCCATGCCCTGTGTGTCCTTGTTTCATGGCTTCTGTAACACTATTGCCTCTGGCTCAAAAAGACAAAGTATTTGAAAACATGATTTTTTTCTTACTCATCTTTTTATTTATAGCATCTGTTACAGTTCCAGAACCCTTAAGTGCTCAATACCTGTAATCTAGGAGATAGCTAAAGGAGCTAGCTAGTTGTCCTCCTTGGGAACAGAACCACCCTGGGCGAGGAGCGTGTCTTCGATGCATAGATGGGACTTGGGTGTGACAGTGGCTGAGAAATGGTACTGGCCTTCCACAGGTAGAGGCTGGGCTGGCTGAAGGGCTCCCACTGCATGGGGCACTACGCTCAACTAAGAACCGTTCCCAAGTACCAGTGGCATCTTCCTTGAGAAACAGTGCTTAAAGACAAACTATTTCAACTTCTTATTCAATGGATATAGATGAATGGATTCATAATGATAAATATTTTATCTATCTATTTAAAGATTTTATTTATTTATTTTTGGAGAGAGGGGAAGGGAGGGAGAAAAAGAGGGAGAGAAGCATCAATGTGTGTGTGATTGTCTCTCACACGCCCCCTACTGGGGACCTGGCTGACAACCCAGGCATGTGCCCTGACTGGGAATCGAACTGGTGACCCTTTGGTTTGCAGGCCAGCACTTAATCCACTGAGCCACACGACCAGGGCATAATGACAAATATTTTAATAACATTTCTGTATCTCTCTCAATGTATAATACAAGATTAGGATAAGCTAACTATTGCTATGTAACAAACTACTCCAAACCTTAATGGCTGAAAACACAAAACACTCATCTGATGGTTTCTGGGGGTTAGAAATCGACTGGCGTCTTACCTGTTTGGTTCTGTAATCACGATGTTGAGAAGGGCTGCAGTCAACTCTGCCTGCAGCAGGAGGGGCCCCCTTGCAGCTCCCACAGAGGGTGTGGGCAGGCCTCAGCCCCTTGCCTCCTGGGCTTCTGCAAGGGCTGCCTCCCAGCGTGGCAGCTGGGTGCCCCAGAGGGAGCAAGAGCAGGTTCCCAGGATGGAGGTGCATCCTTCCCTCAGCTACTCTTACAGGTGACAGCTGTCACGTCCATCCTCCTCTGCTCAGTGGAAGTGGCTGCCCACCTCTATGGAGAAGAAAGCCTGCAGTCTACAGGAGAATCACTGAAGATATAACAGGGTTTATGCTTTTCTAGATCTCTTTTGAGGATGTGGCTGTGGACTTCACGTTGGAGGAGTGGCGGCTACTAAATCCTACCCAAAGGAACTTGTACCGAGACGTGATGTTGGAGAACTACAGCAATCTAGTGTTCCTGGGTAAGAGCATTCTTACGTGCGCGGTGTGTGCCCAGTGACTGGGGGCCTCAAAGGTTTTACTGGTTTTGGATTTAAGTTTCAGATGTCAAAGATTCTTTTGATTTATATACCAAATTTAGAGATTTTCATTCACTTGCTTTATTTTGTAGCCTTTGTAGTAAAATATTCTTCACATTTAAGAACTCCTCCATCCACGCAAAGGCGGCCAAGTCCTCTGTGTTTCCAACCAACAGGTCATCAAAGCATCAAACCTGATGCCGTTTTCAAGCTGGAGCAAGAGCCCTGGATAGTAAACGAAGAAATAGTAAGTCACCACTTCTCAGGTGAGAAATAATCAGGTGTGCGGCATACCGCAGAAGTTAAATCACAGGTTTCAGATGACAGGTTGGCACTCTTGAAATGTTACTTATAAAATTGTTTAAAGTCCTTGAGTCTTTAGAGTTGACTCAGGACTGGTGACATCGTTCTGCGTGAGTTGGAAAGTGCTCTCAGTCCTGGTCCCCACGTCAGGGTGCGTCCTGTGTGCGGTCGATGATGAGATGCACCCCGTTTTCCCCATCAGCGGCCAGTCTTTCAGGCCCTCGCTTCGGTGGACCAGGCCCTTGTTCCGGCCTCTGCGGCCTCCATCTCCTGCTCTCCTGCCCCACTCCAACCCGCCTGGCCAGGCTCCACTCCTCTCAGAGAGTCCACAGGTTTTTCTCATGTTAGGCGACACTGATGACCTTCGAGTTTCCTTTATTATTTTTCTTTTCTCCTTTGATTTTGTCAGATTTCCTTTTAAACCCACAGAGGGTAGGTGACTCCTGACCTCGGGACACAAACTGAATACCTTCCAGAGTGAGGTCCGCTCTTCCTGGCCTCTGTGCAGACTTGTACGGGACAGGCAGCTTCCAGGGCTTCTTTGTGGTGACTTGAGGTTTCACTTCTCTAAAGCTCCTCTTCATCCCGTCAAGCAGTCTGCTGGGTGTGAGAGCCCGTTACCTGCTGGGATGTTTAAACTCCGTTTGTGTTGAAGAGCCTCTCACATGGCAACGTCTACTTTCTGTGCCCGAAGATCGCGGTTCACTGCACTAGAACTGGTTTCTTCCTCGGTGTCTTCCATACGTTTTCTCTGCGTGAGGGCCTTCAAGTACACTATGGTTTCCCCATTCAGAACTGTTCCTCTTCAGTCTGAGCTCCTTCTTCACCTACAGTGAGTGTCCTTGTCTCAGCCTTTTCTGAAATCTCCGCCCATTCAGCCCTGTTTTATAGGAACCTGGGCCTGACCAGACATTGTATGGAATTCCCTAAGCAGGGACGCCTTACTGTGTTTTTCCACATAGAAAGATGGCAAGTGACTTCTTCTCTGTGCTCTGTGGAATGTGTGGTACATAATTACTAAATATTTCATTACTTGGTTGTTCTGGGGTGAGGTAAGGCAGCAACTTTCTCATTCATTAAATATTTATTTAGTACCAAGGTTTTTGCCTAAGCGAGTGTTTAATCTCACCAAGTGTTTCAGATTACAAATGTCCATGCACCACTCATGGATGATTAAGTCTGGGTTTGTGCAGTTTGGAAAAGCTGTGAAGATAGATTTTATGTTCTCCCGTTAATTCAGAACACTGGTATCATATGGAATGAGAGGATTTAAGAGAAAATGTGAGTCATTAAATAACCTTGAGAGAACAGAGAATTTTAATTTAGAAGAAAATGCAAAACTATAAAATATTCAGTACTTGACCTTAAAACACTTGTGTTAAAATGCAAAGTTTATTATCAAGGTTAAGCAGAAACAAACGCATCAGAAGTTCAGTGGGAGGTGAACTGTATCCGTCCTCAAGTACTGAGGGCTGTGTTCCATGTAGTGGGGGCATACCACCTGTAACTGTAAAAGACACTAGCGTTCAGGTTGCCTGTCACTACCCAATCCAATAAGCAATAACAGCGATTGAATCTTTTATGGGCGCTTTATTCAGATGGCAGGTGATCCGAGAAGATGGCAGGTTCATACCCTAACAAATCTTCTTCCCTTCTCTTTCGTGGCCAGATCTTTTATAAGGGGGTGGGGAGGACAAACAAGGGCAGTAAGGGCTTTGAAATTCAGGGAGGATTAGGAGTGAAGCTGCAGGATTTCTGTTCTCAGCAGTTAGCTGTTGCGGGGGGGTCACATAAGAGGCCCAGATGCCTCCAACTTGTCCCCAGGCGGTAATCTCTAGCCAATGCCCCAGGAGGTCAGCTGCTTTTCCCAGGAGCCAGGATGGGCCTTATCTGTAGTTATTGAAACAAAAGCTTAACATACACATTACGTGCTCGACTTACAGCTTTTTACCTTAAGCTAAAATTTTCCTGGTCTTGAGTCCCCTATCACACTGACAAATGCAAAACCGTTCCCCACCCTCAGGGTTTACATTCTAGTGTGAGAGACACAAAGATAATTACCTATTTGATAAGTACTGTAATGGAAATAAAAAGGATATTTATTAGTATGCCCATACTTTCAGCAGGGATTGGCTATGACCACTGACCACCAACCTCCGCTCTCTGTGGAGGATCAGCTGTGCAAGGGCTGAGTGTTGGTGCTCCCATGTGGTCTGTAGCTGTCCACTGGGTGCTCGGGGCCCTGGGGTTTCCCAGATGATGCAGGCCAAGGTCAGCCCCCACCTGTGTTCTGCCTGGGGCCACCTTTCCTGAGCTATAAAGCAATCTAAGACAGCTGCTACTTGTGCTGGGCTTGGAGATTCCCAGGCAAAGCCAAGCTGTGAATCTAGGCTGTCTGCTGCTAGTGCCAAGCCTGGGGCCACTTAACCAGAAGTATAGGAGCTGTGAGGGCTCCCTGAGGTTGGCTGTTGCTTGTTTCAGAGGATTTAGGAAGTTGTGCAGTAAGAGCTAAGACCAGCCATTCATATGGAAAAGCAACTCGGGTGGGGCGGAGTCTCAGGGGATCTCCAGAGTCAAACAGTGGAGCAAACAGGGTCAGCCAGGTTGATAGAGTGTCGGATATGGCACCACTTGCTGACCCTGTGGCTGTGCCCTCCTTTCTGTCTGGGAGAAAGCTGTCCCCCAGCTCCCACCTTGATGCCAGACACGTCAGTTCCTCACTGTAGGCCACTGGTGCCTTTCAAGCTGCTACCCTGGTGTTAGAGCTCAGAGGAGTGAGTCTAAGTGCCTGTGTGGGTTCTTTAAGAGGAACTGCTTCAGACTCCAGAAGTTTTTCACCAACTCAGTCCCTGCTGGTTTCTGCAGCCAGAAGTTATGGGGGCTTATCTCCCTGGCACTGGAACCCTGGCCTGGGGACCCTAGTGTGGGGCTGGGACTCCTCACTCCTGAGATATCCCTCCTAAATTTTTATCCTCTACATGTGGGTGTGGGACCAGCCCGTTCCACCTCTACACCCCTCCTACCAGTGTGGATGGGTGTGGTTTCTTGAATTCCATAGTTGTCAGACTTCCATTCAACTCGATTTCTGATGGTTCTGAAATGAGAACCATCACATGAGTGATGGCTGTTCTATATTTTAGTTGTAATTTTGATGTGGCTTTGCGAAGAGGAGACCCGTCTGCCTATACTGGCATGTTGACCTGAAGTCCTTATTAATATTTTTGAAAAGAAAAATTCACCTGGCTGGTATAGCTCAGTGGATTGAGCATGGGCTGCAAACCAAAGGGTCACCGGTTTGATTTCTAGTCAGGGCACATGTCTAGATTGTGGGCCAGGACACCAGTGGGGGCCATGTGAGAGGCAACCACACACTGATATTTCTCTCCCTCTCCCTTTCCCTCCCTTCCCCCGTCAGAAAATAATAAATCTTAAAAAAAAAAAATATGATAAAACTTTAAAAAAAGAAAAAAAATTCAGCACCTACCTATTCAAAAACCAATCGCAGTCAAAGCCATATTTATACAGCAGTTTGCACGTTGAATTTTGGTGATCTCCTTCCTGTTTCTTTGCCTGCATGTCAGTCTGAGTTTATTTGGCGAAGTAACATAAACATCTAGAACCTGAATTTTCTCGTCTCTAAATGGGGGTTTTAACACCTACTCAGAACCCTTTGCGGTCCAGCTGCTCAAATCATAAAGCTCTTGAAGCCAACTGAAAATGCAGCTCCAGTCAACCTTTCCTCGGTACTCCTTCCCTCCAACCTGGTCCTTCTTCCCCTTCTTCGCATCTTTGTTCTTTCTTTTTCTGTGTTCGGCTCAGTTCCTTTGCCGTTCATTTCTGGAAGTCAGAGCGAGTGTCACAGGCTTCACACCACGTTTTGGACAGGCTGCGGCCCTTTCTGGAGGCTCCAGGGGAGCCTCCCTTTTCTTGCCTTTTCCAGCACCTTTGAGATCTTGCCAAACCTTTCATCTTGCAGAGTACTTCCTGGAAATGCTACTTCACAATAGCTAATGAAGAACCTCATCCTAACGTAAACAAACCTTCAAAAGATCACTTCAGCACTCTCCCTCTCTGGAGCACACCCAGCCTTTCCCATCCCTGCCTCGTCTTCTCTGCAGGCCTGCTCGCTACCTCTGCCTTTCCCTCTCCTGGGCTCTGAGTGCCCTTCTTTGGTCTCTAACTGGTTTCCTTGGCCCGTTTCTTCTACAGCTCACTTTTACTACCTCTGTAACTTTCCTAAACTTTCTTTTATAATTTGGAAAGAAAACATCACTTTAAAGTAGTCAATATATGGTCATATTATGGAAATTACAAGTAATTGTACTTATTCTATCTTAATGTTATGCAAAGATTCTTGTGGTTTGGAATAGTTTCCATTGATAGCATTATATATAGATTCAATACATAATAGGTAATAGATTCAATTTATAATAGATTATAGATTCAGTTAAAATGTCAAGAAACCTAAATAAAAATGTTGATGCTGAGCTCTGAAGAACTCCTGGATAATTCCAAGAAGTAGCTCTAAGGATGGTACACTGACATCAGTGATTCAGGTCATGATCTTGAATGAAAATATTTTTTTAATGTAATGATAATACAGAAAACTAGTATTTCTACTCTTTCATGTAAAGTTGATATCCTACATTTACTGTGCATTGTATTCAGTATTTCTTCCTTTAAAACATTTAACAATATGTGTAATCTTCCTCTCTTTGGACTTGTTATTCTCAGTCTTCCCTATATTGTAAGGCTTCTGATAGTGGATGTTCACCTGTTTTCTTCCCTGATCTTCTGCTACTACCAAGTTTAAGTAAATTAACTGCCCTGGTATTTCATTAGAAATTGCTCCAGTCTTTTTTATCTTATGATCACTGTTCCTTGAATATCTTTCATCTTTCCTTATTTAAAGTTTTGTGATTATAAACCATTGTAATTTTTAATATCTATTTTCAATTTTTGTTTAAAAATTTAATGCCTAATAGGTAGACATTGTATTTGGGAGATTTTGTTGGTGGGAGGTGGGGCACAGTGGGGACTGGGATCCTAGGCTCCAGTTCAGAAGTTTTGTATAATAAGCATAATCACGGGGGGATTTACACAGTATGGTTCATTTTTTTCCTTTTTAGAAGAACTCTGGATAGATCATAATCTCAGAATGTGGCACCGAGATAATGGAGACAAGCTTAAAAGCATGGAGAGAGGCCATGAACATGATGTTTTGGGTAAAATATTTCATTCAAGCATTAACTTTGTTCATTTAGGAATGAGACTCCATAAACGTGGCACCAGTGAAAAAAATCTGAATCACCCTCTTGATTTTCTTCATAAAAATAATCGTGGAGGAAGGAAACTTGAGCTCAACAAAAAACTGTTATTCTATATGAAAACTGACAGAGCCCATGGTGGAATAAAATACTGTGATGGCAATAAATGTAGAAAGAGCAGCAGCAAAGAGTCATGGCTCATGACAAACCATGTAACACACAGAGGAGTCTATCTGTGCATGGAATGTGGCCGAGTTTTTAACAAGAAGTCACAGCTTGTTGTGCATCAGAGAACTCACACAGGAGAGAAGCCCTATGGGTGCAGCGAGTGTGGGAAGGCCTTCTCCCAGAAGTCCCTGCTCACTATCCATCAAAGGACACACTCGGGAGAAAAACCGTATGGGTGTGGTGAATGTCCAAAAGCTTTCAGTAGGAAGTCACTGCTCATTTTACATCAGAGAACACACACGGGGGAGAAGCCCTATGGCTGCAATGAGTGTGGGAAAGCCTTCGGCAGGAAGTCACAGCTGAAAAGACACCAGAGAACCCATACAACAGAGAAGCCCTATGAATGCAGTGACTGCGGGAAAGCTTTCTCCCAGAACCTAAAGCTCATTGCACATCGGAGGATGCACACCGGAGAGAAACCCTACACTTGCAGTGACTGTGGAAAAGCCTTCTTTTGGAAGTCTCAGCTCATTACTCATCAGAGGACTCACACAGGGAAGAAACCGTATGCGTGTGGTGAGTGTAAAAAAGCCTTCAGCAGGAACTCACTCCTCATTAGACATCAGAGGATTCACACAGGGGAGAAACCCTATGAATGCAGTGAATGTGGTGAAGCCTTCATCAGAAAACCACAACTTATCAGACATCAGGTAACTCACACAGGAGAGAAGAATTACCAGTGCAGTGACTGTGAGGAAGCCTTCTTTAAGAAGTTAGAGCTGATTCGACATCAGAAGCTTCACTTAGGAGACAAGCCCTATGCGTGTGTGGAATGTGGGAAAACCTTCTTTGGGAAGTCACAGCTCCTTACACATCAGAGAACTCACACTGGAGAGAAACCTTTTGAATGCAGTGAATGTGGGAAAGCCTTCACCCAGAAGTCCAGCCTGATATCCCATCAGAGAACTCACACAGGTGAGAAGCCCTATGAATGCAGTGAATGTGGGAAAACGTTCAGTGAGAAATCAAGTCTCATTCACCATCAGAGAACCCATACTGGAGAAAAACCCTTTGAATGTAGTGAATGTAGGAAAGCTTTTGCCTGGAAGCCGCAGCTTCTTAGGCACCAGAGAATACATACAGGGGAGAAACCCTATTCATGCAGCGAGTGTGGAAAAGCCTTTGTTCAGAAAGTGCAGCTCATTAAACACCAGAGAAATCACACAGGAGAGAAAGCCTATGGATGCAGTGATTGTGCAAAAGCTTTCTTTGAGAAGGCACAGCTGATCATACATCAGAGAATTCATACAGGAGAGAGACCCTATAAATGTGGTGAGTGTGGGAAGTCTTTCACTAGAAAGTCACATCTTATGAGGCATCAAAGACTTCATACAGGAGATAAATACTATGGGTGCAATGAATGTGGGGCTACTTTCAACAGGAAGTCACAGCTCATAATCCACCAGAGAAATCATGTCAGGTAGAAGGCACATGAGTGCAGTGAGCGTGGAAGGCCTGCTAGCAGACACTTTGCCTCCTGATTTTTCTGAGGACACAGAGCACAGGAATCCTATCAATGCAGTGACTGTTAGAAAAAGTTTTATTGGAAAGGCAAGTGTCACTAAACAGAATTCAGAAAGAGGACATTTTTTGGTAGACAGTATAAGAAAGCCTTCTCCCAGAAGACACAATTTATTACACATTGATAAGTTATCTATCAATATTGTGATAGTACAGAACCTTTTGATTAAAAGTGAAAGCTCATTAAATAGTTAGAAGACCTAAACAGGAGGAAAGCTGTGTAGTCACAGCAAGTGAAAGATGGCAAGTGAGGATAACTCTCAGTGTAGTAGAGAACGTGTGCGCAGGGGAATACTGAGTATTAGAGATTTCATAGGGAGGAGGAGTCCTAATAATCTGAGGACTTTGTAAGCATGATCCTATTGAAATAATACTATAAAGAGGTTGTGTTTGTTGCATACAAATTATATAAAAGACGGTCATTTTTCAATGGTAGGTGTGTTTTAAGTGTGAAGACTTCTTTCTGCCATGGTGGTAGAGCAAGGAATAGATGAACTCTCTTGCCTTAAATAGCTATAAAAAACCTGTACAGTATATATCAAATAATGGTTTTTAGACATGACAAGCACAGGTTTGTGACCTGTGGTAGGAGGAGGACAAAGTGGTGGCAGTTTCCAGGCTGCAGTTCAGGGAAGGTAACAGACACCATAGTGCTGAATTGAGTAGAGCTGCTGAGTTGGCATTTGGGGAAGCCACCATAGCTAGAATTTGCAAGGGGAAGTACTGGAAAAGAGGGAGCTTCTTAGGGAGAGGACTACAGAAATCTGCAAGGCATCCCCTGGAGTCTTTAGACTTAGTACCAATTTGCATATCTGTGAAAAGAAACTTCCTGAAACCAGATAAAGTAGGACAGAGAGAAGGAGGCTAAACAGTCCCTAGAATTCAGTGCAGGGCTAGGAACAGTTCCCACCAGCCAGAGTGGGAACAAGTTTTAATGCACGGCGCACCATGCAGAATCCCCAGCAGCCTGCTGCCTCAGTGGTGACAGTGACTAATGCTAGATTCAAAGCTACTCTGGGCCCACAGTGTCTGGCATCCAAAAGCATACTGGCATGCAAAATAGTAGGAAAATGGGACTGGTAACAAGTAGCGATCAGTAGAAAGAGACCTAGAAAATACTGAAGCGATTGGAATTAGTACACAAAGATGTTTGTATAGCTATTATATAGAGGAAAACATGAATCTGATGAAACTTGAAGTCAGAGATATATTTTTAAAGCCCAAATGGTACTTCTCAGGATGAGAATAACATCTTAAAATTTAAACATAAATGGTGTAATTAATAACAGATTAAACACAGAAACACAAAAAATAATGAGCTTGAAGAGTAAAAAACAAAAACTATCCAAATGATGTACCCAGAGAGAAAAGACAGAGGGAAGAGAACGGGGAGTTGGCTACAGTGTGTAACATACGAGTGACTGGAGTCCCAGGAGAGAAGAGAGAAGACACAAAAGAAAGTGTTTGAATAAGTAATAGCTGAAAAAATTGCATATACATGAAAAGTATATCTCCACATATTCAAGAAGTTCAGAAACACAAAACAGAAAAAAATAAAATAAAATCATGCAATGACACCATGTCAATTGAATGAAAACCTGTGTGAACAATAGTTAAGAACTTGAAGGAAAAAGAAGGCATGAAGGGTGACAGCAAACTTCTGGTCAGAAACTATGCAAGGTACAAGACAGTGGAGTCACATCTGTATATTACTGAGGGCACGAAAAAACCTACAGTAGAGTTCTATTACCCATCAAAGATGAAAGCAAAAAAAGAATTTTCAGAAAAACAAAATCAAAGAGAATTTATATCTGGCAGACCTGCCTTCAAGAAACATTAAAACAAGGTTTTGGTCAGCAGAAAAATAACAGTGGAAATTTGGATCTGCAGGAGGAAGGGAAGAGTTCTAGAAATGGTGAATATATGGGTAAATATAAAAGATATTTTTTTTATTTTAAAATCTTAAAAGGTAACAGCCCTGCCTTTGCTGGTGTGATTCAATGGATTGTTGGCCTGTGAACAAAAAAGGTTGCCGGCTTGATTCCAGTCAGAGCACATGCCTGGGTTGTGGGCTGGGTCCCCAGTAGCGGGTGTAAGAGAGGCAACTGATCAATGTATCTCCTGTGTGTCAATGTTTCTCTCCCTCTTTCTCCCTTCCTCCCTCCCCCTCTAAAAAGAAATAAAATCTTTAAAAGTAAATAAATAAAAGGTAATGGTCCTGCTTATAGCCACAGCAATGACAGTGTATTTTAGGTTATGATCTACTTAGAAGTGACCACAATGGTGTGTAAGTAGGAACCTTTAAAAGCAGCTGAATAGACTGCATTGCCTGAATCAGAAACCTGTTTGCTCAAGGCTCAGTGTGACTTTGTATTTGTAGCAGCTGCATGAAGTTGTTCTATGTGCTGTGGATCTGTACATGTGCTGACTGTTCTCTGTGTCTCCTATCCATTTTCTTGTCCGCTCTGTGTCCCAAGGGCTGTCCCCCAGGGACTGCTTGGCTAGGGTTTCTGCTTAGGTCGAACATGGGAGGTACTTATATGAGATGAGCCGGTGGGAGGCAGAGGCTGGAGTGTTTGCTTGTCTCTTCTGCTGGCGCACAGTTTGGCAGCATCTCTCCCTGTGTCACTGCAGCTCCCAGTGGGAGCCTCAGCTTTAGTTTGGGACATCCCTCTCCTTGCTCTTCAGACTTAAGGGTGATCACTGCTTCTCGCTGCTTCACCTGGTCAGTTTCCTTAATTCTGAACACGCTGTAAATAGTCCCTTTATCAAATGTTCTTCAGCTAGTATTCTGAGTACGTGTTTAATGATGAGCATCAGTTACTAGTATTTGTGTCTCACGGGGAACAGATGGACATCTATCAAGATTTTCCTCATTAAATATCAATATTTTGTGTTTTAACAACTCAGTAAAAATTACAACAAATATCAAAGTGTTTTTCGTTATAAACAGAAATGCTCAGAAGGTTGCCATCTGCTACATACGCAGGTGGTCTGGCCGCTGTTACCATTCTTCAGTAATATCACCAAAATATTTATAACATCTCATGCTACCTCTGGGTTAGCCAAACAACTTACAAGAAAGCAGTTAGTATGTTAATTATGTATGTATAAGAAAAAAACGATAACCTACCACTGAGTGAAGAAAGGAACGACGGACTGTACTTCCCAGTACTCATTTTTAAAAACTGTGCTGTGCAATTAAAAATCCTCATTCCATATTCTGCTGTTCTTATTCTGTACAATGCATGCAGTCTGTAACCACAGACAAGATTTTCATTTCTGTAGTCACAGTTACTTTGGAGAACCTCCCCAAAGGCTCCACACCAGTTCCCATCACAAACTATGTCAGAACATCACCATTGCTCAGATCAAACCCAACCTGCTGCCCTCACCACCTCGTGAAGCCCAGTGAGTGTGGGTGCAACAGAAGCCTGGCACCGATAGCACCGTCCCGTCTGAGTCAGACACCTCTCAGCCATCTCACCTGCCTCCTCTCACCAGCTCACAAGCCTCGTTGGAAGGGAGAGAACTGCCATCCAGCTACACGCACAGTAGTGTCTTCCAGTTTGTTCTGCATCTTAATCTGCGTGTTGAAGGAGCTTCTCATGCAGGTTTTCCATTTTGTGTCAGTCTGGGAGGCACCATTCACAACACTGTCTGGGTTAATCCAATTTGGTATCACTCTGGCCCCGAGTTTATGGGATCAGCCAGCAAGTGAAACAAAAATTCTGAGGCTTGGGCTTAGTTGGAATAGTGTGGTGACAGCCCTCTGTGACCATTTCGCTGTCATGGTGCTGTGTGATCTATGCATGATAATAAAGTGGTTCCCACCGTCAGGATCCTTCCCACCCCCTTTACAACACATGGTGAAGGGAAAAGCTATTCTCACTCTCACTATCTTAGGAAACTTTATTTATCTCATGATGTCTGTCTGCAACTTAGAAGCAGGCTGTGCAGCAGCTCAAAAGAATGAAATGCAACTGAATTACCACTAAAAGTGCTTTCCCCTACATTGGTGTTTCCTTCCATCACCTTGTGGACCTTAAATGTAGTCAGTTTGTCCTGAGGCCAAATCTGTGGGTTTGGGGTGCCATCTGATCGTTCCTTCTCTTCTTTGTGGGGTCTTTGCAGTTTGGGTCAGTCAGTACTCACGGTATCCAGGTACTGTTGGCATCTTGTCACTGAGGCTTGCTTATAGAATTCTAAGATTAAATAAACACAGAGCAACAAATTTACTTAATACCTAAATCATTCTATCTAGGTATTTATCAACATGTAGAATGTTAAAGGTGCTCAACAAAGAGAAGGTAGCTATAAAAGCAGTCACTGCTGAGATGATAGGAAGAGAGAAATGTAAGTGAGAAATATTGTCCGAGGCTTAAAATAGTGTCCTCACAGCTTAGCTGTGCTAAGAGTATAATTTCCAAAAAAGTAGAGAAGAGGCACAGTGTGTAAGTGCAGCTGCATGCATGCTGTGCCTTCTGAAGACAAAGGTCTGGGTGGGACTGCAGACAGTTAACAGTTAGAAACGCCCCTTGGTATTACCTAACTCAAGACTCAAACAGGTGGGCAGTGTCTTGCCAAGGATCACTTAGTGGCAGGGGAAGTCCACATTCCCAGGCCCAGTGCTCTGCCTATAGGACACACAGTTGTCCTTGGCTTTCGTTTTGTCTGAGTGCCTTCCACCTCACTGGCACACACACAGCCAGGTCCCAGCTTTGATCAGTGCTTGAGTGTGGGTGTTAAACTGCATGTTGTTGCCTTGTTGAGAGGGTTTCTGATGGAGGGAATGAGAACTCACAAACTCTGGCATTTGTGAATGCAGTGGCATCTTTCTGTGTGTGGGGTGGGGGTGCGTGTGCTACATTCAGCTCTGTGCTCAGTGCTTTACTTTTTTTAAAGCTTTTAGCTCAGTACTAACTCTGAGGTGCTTTGATACACCTCAAAGGTCACTCGGTCACTCGGCTACCAAGTAGCAGAGTTGGGTTTGAATCCCATCTCCCTAGAAGTGAGGCACTCTTTATGATACTACTATTAATTACTCTAGTCATCCCTGTTTAAAATGGCTATTTTCTTCAAGTAGCTCAAAACTTACATTTACATTATTTCACAGACTAAAGCCTGAAAGGACTGAGGGTCTGGAAAAGTCAGAAGCACAAGAGGCATGTCTCATTTGCATTACTAATTATTTTACTACTGTGTAGTTTTTGACAGATAAAGCTTTTTGGATCTCCAGTTTCCCAATCTGTAAAATTAAAACAGGACCTTGGAGTGGTCTTACGGTGTCTGATCCATCCTGTTCTGGGCCCATGAATCACAGCCCACCTCTCCTTCCTGCGAGTGTGATTGTCTGACCCACTGACCAAAGCCATGTTCTGTCCTTCCGGACACAGGGAGTGCCCAGGTTCTGAGCATGTGGCTCAAATGTATTCACCAAGACTGTATAAAATGAGTCCTGGAGAGCAGTGGCCTCCCTTTGGATTTGAAAACTGGAAAGTGGGGCAGCACTTGGTCATCCTCCCTACTTGTACAGGGACCCTATCTTCAGGATGAAGGGTTCCGAGACCTAAAATGAAGCAGAGAGAAGCAGAAAAATGAGTATGCAGAAAAAAGTCCCGATGATGTCCTTTGAGGTATGATCTGTCCGTTTTTCATGATTGTCCATTGACTAAAGAATGTATTCAACTAGCAGATGTTTTCTTGTTTTTATATAATGCTGGCTATAGAACAAGACTTACTATCAGTTAGATAGGTCGATGTTTTAAACAAAATTGGTTGCATGCGAAATACAGTCTGAATAGCACTGAGGAAGAGAACTCAGCACATTCACTGCATTGCTGAGGTTAGATGGCGACTCCACCTGCGTCTTCCTTTCTTCATGGCTGCAATCCCAGTCGTCATTGGCGCCATTTGCCTTTCAGCAATGGGATTTTATTTTTGCTTACATCTTAACAAGTATGTCCCCTAATTTCATTACCTGGTATTTCCACAGATATAGGAATTGAGATTTTCTTTTTAAAGATTTTATTTATTTACTTTTAGAGAGAGGGGAATGGAGGGAGGAAAAGAGGGAGAGAAACATCAGTTTGTGAGGGATATCAGTTGCCTCTCACATGCCCCCAACCCAGGACCTGGCCCCAGCCCAGGCACGTGCCCTGACTGGGAATTGAACCGGCAACCTTTCAGTTCACAGGCCGGCACTCAATCCACTGAGCCACACCAGTCAGGGTTGGAATTGGGGAGGTTTTTTATGGGCTGCAGAATAAGTTTTTATAGGAAAAAACTATATTATCACCTTTCCACCTAGTACTTTACTAACTGGTAATCATGCGTGCAGCCGGAGCTGTGGTCCTGACTCAGGGCTCGGGAGAAACCTGACTGCTGCTTTGATTGCACCTTTTCCCCACGTTGGGAAATTTCTTATCTGCACACACAAAATCCCCTCCAACTACCCTTAACCCGGCCCCTTCGCCAAGTGACATGACGTGAACATAAAAACTTTATCTTCTTTCAGTGACTCACCATTTAGTCACTACATTTTAAATTCATTCAATAATTTCATTGTTACAATCAGTAGAATGCCTTCCTTCACCCACAAATTGTTTGTTTGTTTTTTTTGTGAGGCTGAGAAATGGATTAGATAAGCAGGCTGAAGCTTATTAAGCTTCCAAGAGCAATGCCCAAAGCTACACTGCAGACCTGGCAGTTTGTAAAAGAAGGAATTTTTTTTTAATCACTTTTGGCCTACCACCAGGTTGCAGAAAAACTTATCGCCACCATAAGATTACCAATGATACCACAAAGTGACAGAAAAGAAACCTGCAAGAAAATTATGGCCACTCACGTGGTCCCCCTGCATCTTCAAATGGAAGATTCAGTTACATACACTGAGTTATTGAATGATTTGTGAGCAGAAACTTAAGAGTACTACACACATACATACAATGGATTATTAGCTATGAAAAAGAATGAAAGCTTGCCATTTGCAACAATATGGACATAGAGAGTATTATACTAAGTGAACCAAGTCAGAGAAAAACAAATACCATACGATTTCACTAATACATGGAATCCAAAAAAACATAAATGCACTTCAAAGGTACAGAGAACTGATTGGTGGTTGCCAGAGACAGGGTTTGGGGGATGGTTGAAATGGATGGAAGGAGTTAAAAGGTAAAAATTTCTGGTTATAAAGTAAGTCATGAGAATGTAATATATAGCAAAGTGAGTGTAGATAACGATACTGTATTGCATAAAGTTGGTAAGAGAATATATCTTAAATGTCCCTGTCATATGAAAAAAATTATAACTGTATGGTGATGAATGTAACTAGACTTACTGTAGTGATCCTTTTGGAACACAAATAAATACTGAAACAATATGTTGTATACCTGAAACTAATAAAATGTTTCTTGTTGATTATACTTCAATTTTTTAAAAACTACTATATGTAACAAAATGAGATTCGTGTAAACAGTCATATTCAAGATTACTGATTAAATATAAACTTAGTTATGGTAACTAACATATAAGTGACTGAAACAACCTTGTATTTTATTTAAAAGTGGTGCTGTGTTATGGATGTATCTGTGAGCTTATAAATGAAGAGCTTTCCCCAAAAACCATTAATTACATTCAAGACAATTCACCATGGGAAGTATTTTTTCCTTATTATAGAAATCACAAACATACAGTATGCAGGGTAACACCATCAATGCCTAAGTACCCACTAATTATAGATGTAACGATAGCCTCATATTATTCTTTAACTAAAAGCATTTTAAAGAAAATTGTAACAATGATGACATCTCATCCCTAAGTAGTACTGTCTCTAAAAAAACATTTTCCTACGTAACCACGATACTGTAATCACACCCAAGAAAATCAACAATGATCTCATATTGTCCAATGACAATAGAAAGCATTTGTCAAGGACTTACTATTTTAAAGGGGGAAATTACTCTACCTGGGATACAAGTTGGGGGTGGCGAGAGATATGTAAGCATTTAATTATCTAGAATCGTTCCCGTGTGATTCAACAAAAAGAAGGACTCCCTTGCAAAAGAAAGAACGAAAATTTCTTCTCCATTATACCGTAAGAATAGGCAGTACTGACCCGAAATTACTCACTGTAATGGGGTAGAAATGGAGAGTTTTAACATATGTCTTTTCTTCTGAGGAACGTGTCAGAACTGCTGAACCTCGTGTGCATATATGCACTTCGTCAGCAGAACGTCTGAAAACAAGTGTGGGTGCCCAGTTCCCAAGTCCATCTGTTCCTTTTGCCCCAACTTAACATGGCGCCAACGGCGGCTATTTCCGAGATCTGCGACGACGCACTCGTCCCGGCCAGCATCAAAGATGGCGCCCAGGCCCACTGCGCACGCTCCGCTAGCCCTCACAGGCCCACTCCCCAAGGTGGCTCCTACGTCCACTCTAGCCGCGGCGCTCGGTGGGCGCCACCGCCAGCCAATCGCAGGGCGTAAACCTCGTTGGCCCCGCCTAGCGGGTCTGAGAGACCCCGCTATTTCTGTTGACAGCGGCGCGGCCGGTTCCGGGTTCGGCGCAGGACGGCACGCGGGAGGCGGTACGGCAGGGCCGTGAGGCCCGGGGCCGCCTCCTGTGACGTTTTCGAGTTCCGGCAGTGTAAAGCCGATGGAGCAGCCTTCCCAGAAGCCGCCTTCTCAAGAGCCGCCTCTGCAGCCGTGGGGGAAGCTCCTCCGCTTCGGCGGTGAGGAGAGCGAGCCGCCGGTCCTTCTGCGGAAACGCGAGTTGACCATCGGGCGGAGGAGAGGTGCTCGCCGGGGTGGGGCCGGGATGGGGACCCCTGTAGGGGACCGGGAGCGGGACAGGGGTGGGGCCGCAGGTCAAGGGGCCGGGATGGGGACGGGAGTCGGCGACTTGGAGCCGGGGACTGGGTGGAGCCGGGGACGCGAGGTGGGGCTGGGGTCGCGAGGTGGGGCCGGGGTCGCGAGGTGGGGCCGGGGTGCGGACGGAGGCCGTGGGCTGGGAGCCGGGCCCGCCGGCTGTGAGGAACAGCTTTTCCTGGGAGAGAGCCCATGTAGGTACTCCCTGGGGCGCCTCCTGCAGATTGTTCAGCCCTCGGGAGAACTGGATGCAGGAGGGGCGTTAGTTTATCCCCAGTGTGCCCTTTCCTCGGCTTCATGGCTGCACAGAGCACCTCCTCTGGCCGCCGCGCAGTGAGATGAGTCAGGAAGGGAGGGTATCTGAGAGCTCAGAGCTAAGTGGGAACTTGCATGACTCGCTCCTGAGCGGATGTGGGGGGGAGGTGTGAAATAAGTCGTCCCGGGGAAATTAGAAAGTAGCCCAAGACGCCCTGGCTGGGTGGCTCAGTGGATTGAGCGCGGGCCTGAGAACCAAAGTGTCGCCGGTTCGATCCCCAGTCAGGGCACAGGCCTGGGTTGTGGACCAGGTGCCCAGTAGGGGGCGCACTAGAGGCAACCACGCATTAATGTTTCCCTCCCTCCCTTCCCCTCTCTCTAAAAATAAATAAATGAAATCTGTAAGAAAAAAATAGCTCAAGATGAATAAAGTGAAGAGCATGCTAAAGCGTATGGGATGCAGCTAAAGTAGTGCTTATAGCGAAATGTGTATAGTTGCCGGCCCGTCATTTGAAAACATCTCAAGTCCCAACTGCTGCTACCTTTGAAATACTGGGTTGGCCAAAAAGTTCGTTGTTGTTTTTGTTCTTCTGTAAGGTAGAGCCCTTGCTTGTCTTTAACTTCATTCAAAACGATTTTGTTAAGATTGTATCGTGACAGCTGTTACATCAGCATGCATTTAAAAAAACTTAAGATTTGTAAATTTTTGTGTAGCCATTTTAATATCGGAGATGGAGGAAAATATGGAATATTTTTGGCATATTGTGCTTTATTGTTTCAGGAAAGGTAAAAATACAACTAAAACGCAAAAAAAAAATTTATGTAGTGTATAGAGAAGGTGCTGTGATTGACCAAACGTGTCAAAAATGGTTTGTGAAGTTTCATGCTGGAGAGTTCTTGCTGGACCGTGCTCCAGGGTTGGGTAGACCAGCTGAAGTTGATAGTGATCAAATCGAGATATTAATTGAGAACGATCAACACTGTACCACGTGGGAGATAGCCAACATACTCAAAATGTCCACATCAATAAGGTTATTAGTGAAAATGAAAAGTGTGTCTTTTATTTTATGGAAAAAAACATACGAACTTTTTGGCCACCCCAGTGTATGTTGGTCTAGTGAATGGGGGAGCCAGAGACAGGCACTGTGGAAAGAAGGGGGTCCTCCCACTCCCCACGTGCTGCTGGAGCGGCTTTCCTGCAAGGAGAGGAGTGCACTGGTCAGGCCAAAAAAATACTTAGTTTGTATACTGTGACTGCGAACTTTACAAAAGAGAGGAGAGCGATTACTCTTTAAAAGCAGAGGCTTTTGGTTTCACTTTACCCCTTACAATGGACCTGCAGCTGTTTTTGTTTAGCAGGGGGTTTTTTGTTTGGTTTTGCTTTTTGGTTTTTTGGTGGTCGGAAATCCCAATGTCAAGTTAACTTTTTTACAGCTATGGAAGTGCTTACATATCATTAGAAACTTTTGAAAGACAAGTAATTGTCTTTAATCGAGATGATTGGAAGTTTGGTGAAGACCAGAAGCCCTGGAAGAGAACTGCTGGGTTTCCACCTGGCATCATCACATAATTTGCTTTGTGCTAACATCTTACCTTTCTGCAGCTTTTGTCCATGCTTCACAGTCTCGGGAAGGGTTGAGATCACCCGTGTGAAGTACTTAGCCGAGGCACTCAACGTTAGCCATTGTTATTATAACACAATATTAATAACAGCATACTACATGTTCCTACAAGGAGAAAAAACGTGTCAAGTTAATCTGCTTCTTAATAGAAGTCCTTCCATCGCATGTATTAAACTTTACAGCAAAACCTGTAGTTGCTGTATTAGGAACTCCGGTCAGGCTGCTGTGACAAAGTACTGGAGAATGGGAAGCTTAAACAGAAACTCATTTCTCAGTCTGGAATCTGGGAAGTCCCAGATGAAGGTGCCAGTGGGTTTCCAGTTGAGAGCCCTCTCCTTGAACAGCTACCTTTTCGCTGCTGGACAGGCAGCCATGGTGTCTCTTCCTGTCTCTGTGAGGTCACAACCCTCTCAGATTAGGGCCCACCCCCACTCCCTGCAGGCCCATCTCCAAATACAGTCACATTGGGGTTAGGGCTTCAACACATGAATTTGAGGGGCACACAAACATACCATAGGAGCTGTAGGACTTTATTATATTAACTTAAAATGATTACATACCTGCTATGTACAAGGATTTACTTGTGGGGAAAGGGAGAGCTGAGTTGATGTGTGGGAGAGGAGATGAGGACCTCACCTTCCCAAACAGATCCCCATTCTTGGGGAGTGGCAGAACTGTGCAGCAACCACATGAGAGGTGTAACTAGTTGAATGACAAGCGGGGCCCATGCCAAGAACAGGAGTTGAGCACAGATTATCTCAGGTCCAAATTAGAATGGTGATGTTTTGGCATGCACAGCCTGTTCAAAACCCACACTGGTGACAGCGTGACTAGTGCAGGGTCTGGGCCGGGAGGTAGTGCTTGGTGCAGTGGAGACATCTGGAGCACAGGTGACATTCACCTGGACAAATGTAACACTTCCCGTACTGCAGAACAAAGGCTGATGCAAATAACATTTCTAATATGTGAGGTTTATAGAAGCCTGGTTCACGTATGGTAAAATCTACCCTTTTGGTGTTCAGTGAGTTTTGAGAAATAGAACCACCACTAGTCACCCCAGGGAATTCCCTGGTGGCCTTTTGAAGTCCTTTCCCTCCCCGCAAGCCCAGTTTCTGGCAACCATTGAGTTAATTTCTGTCCCTATCTCGGTCTTTTCTAGAATAGCTACTTGCGAGCACACAGTATTCCACCAGTCTTTTGTGCCTGCCTTCTTAATCTTATATAATGCTTTTGAGATCCATCCTTTGCTGTCCTGTGTATCCATCTCTTCTGTTCCTTTCCATTACTGAGTAGCGTTCCCTTTTTCAGATATACAAGCGTTTGTTTATTAATTCATCGTCAGTTGATGGACACTGTATTGTTTCCCACATTAGGTTATTAAAAAGAAAGCTATTATAAACCTCAATAACTATAACACATATACCATTTATAAGCAGATTAGTGATTAGATATTAAAAGCCTCCTGAAAGCTTTTATTCTTTAGGTTTAAAGAGAGAACAAAGTATTTGAGGATTTTCTCTTTGCATTTAATGAGGATATAAGGATTGTGTTTAGCTATAGCTGCATCTCCCTTCTGTTTTTAATTTTCTTAAACATGTGCGTGTGCCTGTGATCATTTCCTCAGTCATATTCTGTGACCGTTTGTCATTGCTTCAGTTTTGTATGGTTTATGAAA